AGAGAGTGGTCAAGTATTACAGAGCAGGCAGGTAGAATATGTGTGAGTCCGTCCCACAGGACGCTACATCGGTTGTGATAGGGGGTTGGGGGGCTGAAAGGTGCAGGATGGATTTAGGATGTGCACATTTCTTTTTTCTGCTTTTTTTTTTTTACAACCCCAAGTTTCCAGGTAGAGTAGATATCGACATTTATGCTCAACCAGTAGGTACACTGGACCTAAGACAATAGAGTCAGCAACAGATCCTTAAGCGCCGTTTCATGTGTTAGATGACATGCGATTGTGCATACTGATCTGACTTAAAGCTGTACTCGCGACCAGCAACAAGAACCCGAATATGCAGCTGCAAGTCTTTGGTGTATTTTTGACTTCTACTCCAATGGAAATTGCAGATTAGGACGTGCATTTTCGGGTTCTTGTTGCTGGTCGCGAGTAGTTACCTAGAGCACCTATGTAGGTACACCTAAAGTGTACCTGATGTTAAAGGTAGAATTATCTCAATTCATTCCTTTCGCCTATTACCCCATAGCTTGATTTTGGCGCGAGAATCCCCTTAAGGTAAGCGCAACGAAAAGATTGTTTCTAAATAGGGCCGTTTCACGATACCCAATAGACATGCACAAATTAGAAGCGGCTCAGGTGCAGTATGTGAATCATGGGCAAGAGAAGCTAATTTTGACCAATAACAAAATGCTTGTGTGTTATTTGATTATGTAACCCGAAATTAAGTCTCTTGACGGATAGAGCCGACCTCGAGACGACGCATTTATCCCCGCACGTCGGCCCTAGAGCACATGTAGCTATGCCACTGCCACTGGCAGTTATACATACATCATATGCCAGCAGTGTTACCAATGCGCTTAAGACTGTCAGTTCCCTGCAGATCTGACATTGCAATTGGTTATGTACTCTAGCTACAACTACTTGTGAGAATTCGAAGCTCACCATATTTTCCCCTCTCAAACGACAATACCTTGCCGAGAATCATGTCTATAGACCCCGATATTCATTAGTTCAGTTCTCAAATTTGTCTAAAGCTGACCACACTCCCGATTTCTGGATTGAGATTCAAAGCACATACCTGCTCTACCTCGAGCACATATTCAATGCCACGAAGCTGGTCCAGTGGAGTGAACCATAACGTGGAACATCTACTCGCCTAAGCAGGAAAATTCTCTATTCTCCTAGCTTCCAATCTGTGGGTGAATTGGCCGCATAGGAAGTCTAGATATGCTCACACCTAGGCAGTCTAGGACGTGTTTATGCAATGATGACTGCTGAGCATGAAAGTTTAAACACGATATATAATTACCGATATTTCTCGTTCGACGATGTTTATGTCTAGTCGGTTTATGCCCACTATAAGGCTCAAGGCTGAAGCCATAAAATCAGCAGCAAATCTTTCCAAGTCATAATTATAAGAGATCATAGACATCTTGTAGCAAAATTTAATGCAATTATTTACCTGAGTGGTATGCGAATACACATATGTACTGGTACGTACTTAGGTACCACTTCCTGACACTTGCCACCAAAATCTTTCCCGCAGGCGCCAATTAATCGCCTGAACCTTTTCGGTAGGTAACTTCATGTAGGCGTGTGGCACACAAGTACCCTTAAGGGTTCAGCCAACTTAATTGATAAATAGGTACCCCTAAAATATGGGGATCTCATTATTGAGACTAGAAATGAGAGAAAGCAAAACACTAAAGGGCGATAAATTAGATAATCCCTACCGTTTAGAAATAGGTATGTATATGTATGTAGTTAGTTCCTAATCCTAAAAGCACACCCCCCATGCTGCTTATTGGACTGACTTAGCCGAATTTTTCTCCTCAGTGCTAGTTACTGCTAGAAGAAGGATTGTCCGTTGAGGCACATTTGTACCTGTCCAAAATGTAACACCCGGTTCACCGGCTTTGCCGCAAACTTTCGTCCGTTCGGACAACAAACTAATCGCGTGATAGCCCGAACAATTAGTACAAGATTGGCGGGTTATCGAGCTCAGAGTGCGATGATTACAATAATCACGGATATTCGGTTCCTAAATCCTGGAGAAAGCATAGATATAAGGCATGTTCATTCCTTTCAATCCTTTTCTCAAGTCTGATCGCTTTATTTCCCGAGGTGCCGATATTCCCACGAATGAAGTTCTGTAATTCATCACGCAGGAATGCGTGCTTACATAAAGCTGCAGCTGTTCCTCATGTATGTACCAGATCTTGTACCAAATAAGAATACAGGGAATTGAGCATAGTTCCAGCCCTATCCAGAGTACCTATGCAAGATTAGTTCCGGCGAGGTGTGGCTTAGTTACCAGTTGCAGCAGCGTACTACTATTTTTGGATGGAAGTAGAGGGAAAAGAGGTAAAAATAAAACACATACTATAGGCGAAAAAGAACCCGGGATCAGCGGTTCACCAGTTGTTTGGTGCTACAATGCCCGATCGCGAATTTTTAATCGAATGTCTTGATGGCAGACAACACTGGTTGAGGGCTTCGAAGATTAATAAGTGATATGGGCTTGGACTGACAACAACAATTTGCAGTTTCCCAATCACATGCATAGCCCCAGATGTCTGCCTCTCGGGGCTGTTTATAGCTCGATATTGACATTGTGTCTGTTCTCAAGAGTTTGTAACCAGATGAAAGAGACCCTCGAGGTAAATTAACTCGCCGTAGCTGAGGGTACGTAGAGATGAAAACGTAGATTTAAGATTCTAGGCGGCTCATTACACAAAGGCACATGTAGTTGGATCTATGATGCTTTCAACAATAGTCAGACTATGATAATGGTTGGAATTTAGTTCTCTAGGTCTTACCACATGTCAGGACGTGATAGACGCTACTATCAGGCGTGTGTGGCATCGACTCCCTACATCGTGGATCCAGCTACCTCTGCCATGGCCCGACCACTGGCGAAAGACATGATGGGTGCCTACATGTATACACGTACATGCATTTTGCCCTCAGCTCAAGTGGCGTATGCCATGGTACCTATTAATCCCATTAAACTATTTTCTCCTATCACGAAGCACCTACGTCTATATATATGAAACGCTATAGACATCATGTACCAGAGAATTGTTTCCATAAACCTTAATACATTCTAATGCAGCTAGAGTGTGAGGGGAAAGATCCTTTTAGCCGCTGTTGGAACAAAGGAAGGCCGGAAAGACCCATGGAAATTGCATTTGAGACTCCATGCGCGGTCACTATTCTAACTCGGGCCGTTATTCTTCATTATGCGAATCATTTCTTGACGCGCAAGGCTTATAAATCTTCTGGCGGCTTACACATATGTCGGGTAAAGGGGCTAGCACCCATCCAATCCAAACATGGAAATTGCTGTCCCGTACATAACACAATTATATGTAATGATCTTCATGAGGTTGAGCCTTAGCTTTGCCCCGGGACAGACAAAACGTTAATAACAAGTAAGTACTAAATTCATAAGAATTTATATATTCGCCGACTCCTATATTTCTGAAACACCATTTTCTCTTGGAACATATTCATATACGAATTAGAAAGAACAGTGAGCCTTGATACCTTACTTAATCGAAGCGTGGGTTTGGGAAAAGCTTCCAAATGGAGTGAATCATACACTATCACTCGTTGATGTTTCTCATAGATATAGCGAGCCTCTTTTTCTTCCTTTCAACTTCGAGAAGCGCATACGTTTTCTATACAGATAGATAAGGTATATGCGATAAGATACAACAAATTAACGACAAAAGGGAAGAGATATCATCGCTCGAGTCCCATATTTTCATTAGACCAATCATGCTATATCTGGGGAACTATGTACTATGGGGATAAGTTTATACTCTTCCCTAGGATCAAGTACTACATGTATGTAATTGTATGATTTCATAGCTATGAGTTGAGATATTCCCTTTCCCATCAAGCTTAATTAAGGCCGTCACGGTTAGGATGATCGTAGGTAAATTATTCCTGATGTTATTGAGAAGTTTACAGCTTAGTAAATTACATCCAATACAATTCTAGATCTCAGCTCCTTTAAAATATGATCTTCTCCCGATACAGCATTAGATCAGAAACCTCCCAATTCTTTTGTAATCTAGTCATAAGATATCACTCGATTAGCTAAAACTCTAACCCCAACTGGTCAGGCCGACTTGATGGTGTGCCTTTTGCTATAAACATTGATCGGCAAATTTACGGGTATGCCGTACGAATCAAGCTCAGTAGATTATCTAGACACCTAGCATGAATCATTATCCATAAACTTCTGCTTGGACAGCTGACCTCCAAAAGGATTCAAACCATCCTTGCCTTTAATGCATAGCTATTCCCCGATCTCGAAGTGTACTATACTACATAAATCGAGTCATTGCTGGGCATGTTTACAAGTGCGGCTACAAATTCGCTTTGAACGGGAGTTTAAAAGCCTAGTTCCTTATTGATATCAAATCAAACAAAATCTGATCACCTCGAGACTAACTACATAGGTAGTTAGCTACACCCCACAAAACAAAGAAGAACATTGTGTGATTCGGTGAAGGAGGGACGCAAATAAGTGTAAGTGCATAGTTAAGGTAGGAATAAAACTATTAAGATAAAATCGACACAACTAGGCGCTCCAAATAATGACAAAAAAATGCTGTAGAAAACTCCTATCCGGATCCCAAATGCCGTTCTCAACCCCTGATCATACCTTGTGGCTTCAAAGCCTAAGTATGATATAAAAATAAACTTGAACAAAAGAATAGGTTGATGATATCAGCGCTGCAGGAATATTCAACAATATCCCTCAAAAGACTCCTAATCTTTCAGAGCGGAGAAAAAAAGAGAGAGAAAAGACCATATACAGCCGGTACACAGAAATACAAGCTCAAAAATACCAGAAAGCCCCGGCTTTAGGTATCGTTATGACAACCAAAAACCACCAGGGTAATTTACTCTCCATAGCATTATAGCATTTCAATAGACGTTAAGCATCCCCTTTGCACCTTCCTTAGAGCGGCCTATTAATATTAATAACCCCAGATGTTATTATCTTTCGCTGACTGAGTTTGGCTTCTAGTGCGGATTGGAAGATCGATTGCCTGTACCCGCTGGCCGGGAACTTCGTCATCGAAGTTCAACTCCCGACCTTGGGATTTACGTGTTCCGATACCATCACCAGCGATGTTGATCCCCCCCGTAGCCTGCTCTTTCCCAAACGCTTCAAAGAAACCGCCACTGGGACTATCATTCTCGCCCCAGTGTCCCGAAATATTGTTAAGTGCCGCTTTCCCTTGGGTTGGCCTCTTGACGTGGGACCCTGCTGGGGACTCATCGGCGATCTCGAAATGGGAGTTGACACCAGGACGGCCGATTCCGGTTAGCTTCATTTTCGCGACGGTTTCGGGAGTATCTGTATCTTTGATCGAGAAATGTGTTTCGGAATCTTTGCGGGGAACCATCTTTTTTGGAAGTTTTATTGGCTCTGGCTTCTCTTCATCGTCACTCCATCCAAAGTGCCTCTCGTCGTCCTTGCGATGCTTCAACGGCCTTTTCTCGGGAGTAGTGAAATCTTCAAAGCCCCATGAAGAAGAATGATTTGATTGCTTCGTCAATGCGGCTTGAGCAGGTAATGGTCTCTCTTCGGGTTCATCGGTGAACTCAAAATGATGGTACTTTTTGGGGTCGAGAATAACGGTGCGTTCTACATTCTTAGGTGTCTTATCGTTTTCGCTGCCGATCTCAAAGGTACGCTGCGCGGCGAATCCATTATTTCCTTTACGAGCGACAAATGTTTCAGGCTGTTTCTGGATCGGTTCGCCGTTCTCGTTGGTGCCGATGATTTCGACAAGATCACGGCTTGGAGGTTTCGCAGAGCCACGAGGGGCGATTGCCGGGCCCTTAATTCTCTCTGTATCATCCTCCTGAGGAGTGAAAAGCGACAAACTACGATGTGGATCTCTTGTCGGGTTTGTGGTGGTGCTGCTTGCAACGGAGGAAGCTGAACTTTTCCTTGTTCCGGCGCGTGTCCTATTGCCGTTCCCGTTCTGCACAGCTACAGGAGCAGGTTTAGGTGCGCCAGGAGCATTTGTAGTACCGACCACTGAAGTTCCCACGAGCTTACACTGGTCGCGACCGTCTTTGATGGGCCAATTGCGCCCGTTACGACCAATAACGCCAATCTGCTTTAGAAGGCATGACTGGTCCCAGTAAAGACGGATCTGCTTGATAAGCCCATCTTCAAAGTTGACGATGTGGATCTAACATGAAGCACAGATATTAGCCCCCATGTCAGTGCACGATGCTTTGACACCTCTAGTCGCAAGCCACCTATGCAACCGGCTCACACTTAAATAATCATTATGAAACATGGGGCAACGTACAATTGGCACCATAACGACCTGGTCGGCCAAGAAATTATCATCCAACGCAGGTAGATAGTTACCCCCACTACTGATGAATTCCATTTCCGTCTCCATTTCCAAAACTAGCGAATCACTGTTCTCGATAGCAGAGAGCGGCTTTTCGATGCGCTTCTTGAGAAAGGTAGGCTCGCGAGTGAGGTACTTTAATATGTCTTCAGCAGAATTGATAGTGATGAGAGTTGTGATGAAATGCATCGATGGCGACTCAAACAGCGCTTTTGAGTCAGGAGAGGCTAGAAACCTCGTGTAGACTTGTTGGAGAGACATGAGATGATAATCTTTCGGAAAACAGTACTCTTACTGAACAATAGCTGATTTTGGTTTATTGCTTAAGAATAGAAGGTATTTCAACGCTTTGGAAAGCGATCAAAGGATGAGATAAAAAAACCAGACAGGGGCTTCAGCCAAATCGTTTTTATAAAGAGCTGCAAAAGCTGCGATTGTCAAGACAGACCAGCTGAAGGGATGAGCGAGTGCGATAGAATCAAGCACAAAGCGGTGAAGAAGTGAACAGCTGGAGAAGAGAACAGGGAAATGGGCAAAGAAGGAGGGGCGATGAAGGGATGAAAAGAATTCGGAAAGGAGGGATTAGAAGTAGGAAGGAGGAGGTGAGATGGATGTAAGGAAGCTGTGATGTCCAAGGCAAGGGTTAGGGATAAAGTGTGGAGGAGATCCCCATGTATTGCCAAGCTGGACTTCTCCAAGATACATGCAGGTACCAACTGCGACAGGAACCAACTCCAACTCTTCCATCCACCATCAACCCCGCTTGCATACACAGATTCCTGCATGCGTGTGTATTCTAAGGGCTAATTCTGTTAATCCACCACCTATTTGCTCTCCTTGTGCATCGTACAGCATTTCAAGGAAGATGGTTGAGCAATAATTTTTGGATACACACATGTACAGGGTAATAAGTGATCAGACAGAACGCCATCAAAATACGCGTTTGCAGGCAAAATTGTGGCTAGGCCGTCCGATGACTTAATACCCACCGCTGTACATACCTTAAGCGTTCGTGTATGCCGCGTCCGGAAGTAAAAAACAAAATAGATTTCTTCTTTCCTTTTTTCTTCTTTCCCTCCTGATTTCGAAGGACCGCCAGGGAATTCCCGAGACCTACTTCAATCAAAATAATAAAACAATAAACCACCTATCCAGGACTAGTTTCTGTCCCCCTGAGAGCCGAGTCCAAAGCCTAAACTCGTGTGATGTGGGATGCAGCCCAACAGGTGCATATATACCCCTTCGCTTACAGGAGGGAGAACCCCAGAATGTATTTCCTTAAACAAGGGGTTGGAATCTTGATATCGATTATCTGAGGTACTACCACGATATGGCACATAGTGACATGGAAAGAAGGCTCTGTAGACCCACAATGAAGCTAAGGTGTATTCTGGCGAGAGATAGATACAGGTCGTGGGGTGCACGACGAGTGAGAGAGTATGCAGAGTGATAAAACAGTAGAGTGACAACATCCAATTTCCACGCAACGACTGCCAAGAGGCCATAGCGCCTGCTGCGGGTTTTACCGGGGATCGTGGGATGAAACCGAGAGCCTAGTTTTGAATTAAAGGAGCGAGAGTCCCGGAAGCTTGGTTAGCTTTAGATTTAGATATTGCCAAACCGTTAAAAAGGGAAACTACATATACATTCACGTATATATACATGTATGTATGTATTCTATCTACAAGCACCTATTTTCCCTCCATTGTAAGCCTTCAAAAGCCCTCATTTTTGAGGTACAGACCGGCGCATGTTCTCGACCTGAAAGTTTCTATCCGGTTGTACTTTGGTTTTGGTTGTGGACAGGATGCTAGCGCTCAAATATCCGAAAACAGAATGACTGCGCCGAGAACAAAAACACGCCTCCAAAACAGGAAAAAACCAACAAGTATGTTCCGAAAGCAGAGGAACGTTAGGCCATAATAAGTTAGCTACTGAGCAGCCTACGTACATGACCCGAAACGCGCCTACGAAAAGCTCATAAAAAATCAAATTGAGGACTTACTAGACAAGTATTAAGAATTTGGTTGAATCAGAAGAAGGCGGAGTAGTAGAATTTGTATTTACCAACTACCAGCGCCCACATCTGTACTAGTTTGGTAACGATAGCAACGCGATCGAGTGATATTGGATGAGTATGTAGGGCAGCATGCGCCATACATGTACATGTAATTAATGCTGAGATAATTCGCGCTAAGCTATGGAAAAACTTCAAGGCAGACATTCAACACTAGCGCCCAGGACGACGTCCTAATAAGCATAAGTCTTCGTATTCATCCTCGTGGCAGAGCACCCTACGTACTTACAAGTATGTGTTTTACGAAAGCATTTCTACAAGTGTTGCCGAGACATGCTTACGCGGCGTTCCCGGAGGTCCGGCACAGACCAGTTTATGCTTGACTGACTGATTGGAGGAAGTTCCGCGGGGAGCAGAGTATCAGTAATACTATTTCATGGACAGTTTCGATTCACTACCAATATACCAAGCTTTGATTGCTCTACAATACGCCCAATACGGGCAAATGACTATCTGGCATCACCTTGCCTGACAAAGATCTACCCGCCCCGGGTATTCGAAGGGTTTTCTAGTATTTACTTGTCGTGGATACGGTATTCTACCCTGGTAAGTAATTCCACGAGAATCTGTCCGACCTGTGGGTACTGGAACGACATCAATGCAGCTTATCTGATAGTTAACCTAGACACATCTATATCTACATTAATGTACCTATATAAGCTGGCCCTTTGTTCTATTTACCTTAACCTTGGAGGCGGAGTGCCTCAACTCACCACGGTTTGGGTGCATATGCGCCAGCATACCTTACATACTTTATTACCTTGTCCAAAGCCGGGTATTAGCAAATGGTTGGGTCTTGTTTCCGCCGAGACTCCGAGGTGATGAGTGCCAATACCGATGATGAAAAATAGAGTACGTATGTATCTCTTGGTGTGGTTTGAGCCCCGATATCGGACTGTGAAGTGAAAAAGCAAGCGCCCTTGTTGTCTTAATTTTGGCCGAAAAAAGATGACTGCGGGGCGTTTAGAATACTCGGGCGGAGAAAATTCGGTTCTTTCGTTTCCTTTGCCGATAGAACCACAAGCTTGGTTTTGGGTCTCTTATATTAGCACACTTTCTACAATGAGTGAAGGGAGCGTAAACTATTCTCTTTTTTTACAAGTAATCTATTTGACCCAGACCTACTACCAAATTTGTTCACAACCGAATTTGTACTTACCTAGATGCCAATGACCCATTTCCCAATCTGATACGGTACCAGGTTAAAAACGTTATATCTAGGCCGTCAACCGGGACAACCCCTAGTGGACAATGTTGTTGGATGTTGGTGCACTTACAGCGTGAGGTAAAATTATTGTAGAAGTATGGGAAGAGTCCTATTGGCTTGCCCAGCCATAGAAGCCCTGTTTTTAGACCCCTGTTTCTACAATAATTTTCCCTCTCGCTGTAGAGTACTGTCGTTCACGGGGTATTGGTAGATACTGGGTATTGGCGAATTACAGGTAAAAGTTGGCTTGGCTGTCTCTTTTTTGCCCTGTCCGCCATCACCCAGTATCCGCCAATACCCCGTGAACGACAGTACCTACATTTCCATCTAGTTGTTTGTGTGCATCAAGCAGGGGTAGATGGATGAACGTGGATCGTCATGTAAGTATGCACAGTTGCGTTGCGTGCGCGTCTTACGGGAGGCGCAGTCAGTCTTGCTCTTTTCGTGTGAGGGCGAGACCCTTCTATACGTCATACGAAGCGACCTATCCCCGATAGAAAAGTTAGAATAATAAATAAAGAGCTCATCAAAGAACCTACACCAGCACACAGAGGTCAGGTTGATATACAGGGTGAGAGATCTTGCTTTAACCATTCTACTACATATACTCTACCCTTGCGCTTCACCCGTTCGACTTGAGGAGAAAGAAAAGTGGCTTTATCTTTCTGTGCTTTCAGCCGCACAAAGCTTCGGCATCTCATCTGCGTACAATATAGTCAGGCATCATCATCAACAATCCGTTAAGGAACACCCCATTGTTCACCATGGCACACCCCGAGATCTCTAGCCTCTCGATTAATGATGGAGCGAATAGAAACAATATTTTGACGGGGAAACAAGAGCACTGTTTGTTTCCAGTTCTACTTATTTACCCCGCTTTAGCATCACAGCTGACCTGAGATAGATTTAAAGCGAGAGCTTATTGGTACCCAGGTTAGATTCGAGATTGCAGAGCTCAACTCACCGACTGCGCTTCAGCGCTTCGGCGCCCCATTTAGATCACCACTTGGAGAGGTTGCTCCCGTGGATAGTGAGCTGCCGATTCTCAGATACATTTTTGTACACCATGTTCGAAAATTCCCGTTTCTCAATCAAGCGAAGGAGAAGGAGTTTTGGCAAGATCGACTGCAAGTGGTGAGTAAAAATTGAGCTGCTGGTGGTCGAAATTTGATAAAGTTAACGATGGCATAGTTCCTTGAGTCGTTTGCAAACAAACGCATCTCCTCATCCGAAGATCGACTCGAAGAAACCAAACGTCGCAAACTCGCCCTAAAATGCGAGAAGCTTGTTGAACTAATGATGAACTCTGGTATTCCAACAGCTTCTGGATATGAAGAACGAGTAGGATTCGAAGAGATTGAGGCAGCCGGTGGAGCAGACAGAGCAGCTCATGAAGGCGGTCTATTGATAAATGTACCAGAAGGAAACTGGATTAACGGGTGGGACGTGAATATTGCTTCTGTGAGGCAAATAAGTGTTAAGAGGACCGTTCGACATCACATACATGCTGTGCGTAGGATATTCTGCGCCAGAGTCTAAATAATAATTAAAAAAAAATACTAATTTTGCTACATAGGAATTCCTTCTTCGCACAAAAAGAGTGAATCAACCTGATGTTGTAGTAGGTCGCAGATACGGCGCTTTTGTACGGCTGCACAAAGAGGTAGGAAAATGATTTCTTGAGGGGTTGCTGCTAGATGCTAACGGTCTATAGTTGCGACAAGAAATTCCAGGAAAGGTTCTCCCACCCCTTCCCCGCAAATCCCAAAGCTCCTCTGCATCCGCCTATCTTTCCCAGTCTACAGGGGATGACCGCTCCTCAATATCTTCCAATTCAAGTTTGACATCTTCGTCAGGCGACTCACATCCTAATAACGGGAACGGTTCAAAATCACATGCCCGTTCACAATCCCTTGGATCGTCTCTAGGGTCATCACTTGGCCTTAGTAGAAGTCGAAATGCATCACGAAGCTCTCTTGACCACCCTCCTGTAGAGCTTTGGCGCGAAAACCAGAGAATATCATTAAGAGCTTTCCTGAGAGCTTTGCTGGGAGACGAGCAGATTGCTAAGAGTAGAGCAATAACAAAGTTTTTGCTTGAAAACCCGATCACCTTGAATGCGGAGGAGAGAGTCGACGAGGAAAGAAGGAGAGCGATGGATAATATCCGAATCGAAGAACAGAGGCGGTTCTATGAGATTGCAAGACAAAGAGCGAGGGAATTGGACGTTTATATGGAGAGCTTCCGACGGGAAATCGTTGAATCAAGTAATTACCCATTCACTATCTTGAACTCCCTATAAATATCGTACAATACTAATGGAGCTTTTTCATAAAGATGGTCTCACAAAACTTTTTGCGGAGATTAGGCAGAAGGATAAACTTGCAGACCTCTCTATCCAATACAAAAAATTTGCTGAATGGCTCCGTATCGAAGTGGCGGCAACAATATATCATCTATTTCTAGCCGAAGACAACTCCAGCGAACTCTTTGCACAAGGGAAGAGAATACACTCACTGATTCCTTATACTGTTCTCAAAAACGTTATCCGTATCGCCAATCCTGCTGCCGTTATGTCTGGTGTTCTTGATCTATTCTTGGCCACACCTTTTGGATCAAGATCATTGATGCAGAGAGTTTTGAGTATGGCGATAGGAGATGGTATCAAACAGTTGCAGAAAAGCATCGATTCGCTAACTTTGGATATCGCCGATCCGGTCCTCTGCGCCAAGTTGAAAGAGTTCACCGAGGCAGATGAGGAGGTTAAACAGCAAATTAGAGAAGATGCAGAAGAAGATCGCGTAGATATCATCGTTGCCATCCTCAGGAGCGAGTACATTCAGCCCGAGCTAGAATCAAAGCAGATTGAAACAGTTTTCAATGCTTATGTTGCATGGAACAACGCCGTCGAAAACGTCCAGGATGATATGAGAGCATCCGCACAACTATTTGCGCATCTCAAGCAGCTACTCAAATTGTATACCCGCCAGCGCGATAAGAATATGATGCTGGAAATGATCGGAGAACCAGTAACATTGCAGTTGTTTAGAGATCTGTTCACAATCTTCTATGAACCCCTCATTCGCGTTTACAAGTCTGCAAATGTCTACAACTCTGTCACCGATTTTTCAATATTCATCGATGACATGATCAAGGTTGTGGAGAAAGCACAGAACCAGGACATGTCTAGCGATCCGAATCAGACCGTGCAATCATTTATAGACCTCTGCGCAAGGCATGAAAATAACTTCTATAAGTTTGTTCATGAAGTGCATATACATGACGATGGATTGTTTGAGAATCTCATGGGATGGCTTGAGGGTATTCTCGGTTTTCTAAGGAAGGGTCCCGCAGGAGGTGCACTTGACATGAACGAGTTGATGAGGCACGCCGTTGAGACTGGTGTGGTTGATGGCGTTAAGGCCAAAGATGAGATAGACCAGTTGATCAAATGGCAGGCGAGAAGGAGAAAGTGGCATGAGGACAAGACGAGACAGAAGATGGCTACCGCTGGTGAAGACCAATCTGCTTGGTTATCCACTGGACCCGAAAACCAGTTTAGCGTTGGTGATTTTGGCATTGCGGATGTGTGTACCTAAATACCGTTCCCTGTTGTGGTAATTTTATACTGACTCGCTTTAACGCAGGGTGATCTCGATGACCTCAATAACGTCGACGACGACGAGCTATCCGGCGATGAAAATGAAAGCGACGACCAGGCAGACCCAATTGAGGCCGAGCGAAGGAAACGGAAGAAGAAGCAGGACCATCTCAGGCGAAGAGCAGGCGAGCCCATAAAACCGGTGGTTACGGAGGTTCCGAAGCTGAAGGAGCCCTTTTTGTTGCAGTTGAGGCAAGTATTGGCTGGCTAGGTTAGAAGGCTGGACTTTCTTTCCTCTAATAGAATACATTGGCACTTTTATTAATGACTCAATGGAATGGGCAATGATGGGAGTGTGGGCGGTGGTACTTAATTCGTGTATCTTTATTTATTTCTACAAGCTGTTTCCTCTCTTTTTCTTTTCCTGCCAGTCTTATGTGCGGGTTGAGGTAATCAGTATCCAAGCCCAATGATCAATTCCGGCCACCAACCAGCAGCAGCTACGGGATTAGACGAGACTAGGCTAGATAGGTCGCAATTTTCGTCCACGAAGCCACTATCAGTAAACAAGTTGCCGAGTTCCCTATTAATATAATGTCGAGAGACACCACAAAATACGACTTGATCCAACAGAGTTGGACCACAGACCATGTACAGAACATTAGCTGCACCGGCAGTGGGTAAAGACTGAGTATTTGACTGCTACACGTAGCCCCCAGCAACCTAGAATTGACATAAAAAGTAGTTGGGGCGGATATACTGTACTCTCACGGCTCGTTCAAGATCAGCCTTCCCTATCTTACCTAACGCCCATCCAATTACAAGCAGATGTGTGGATGATGACACACGTGCATGTAGAACGAAGTGTGGCGGCTTACGTGGGCTACATTGGTTCACCACAGAGCGGTATATGTAATATGGACATACGTTTGTTTTACAATGATACAGGCAAGGGAAATGGCACCTGATAAAGACTGCCGATGAAGTGGATAGTTTGGGATCACCGGGGATGAAGGTTGACGGGAGAAGAACCTCAGAGCCACACGCCAAGACACGATTGATCACCCATGACCCACTAGTAATAATTGTAAGGAAAATCAATTGCAAAGGTAGTTAAAACTAGGATACAAAATCAGCAGTAGCTTTTCGAAACTCGAGACACATAGGAATGCGAAGTTAGAGCAACAAAAGAAACATCAAACGAAGAGAGAGAAGAAGAACAACAAATAGATAACCACCATCATTAACCGTACCTACCCCCCTTGCCCCGTGCCAGCCACTCTTCCCGCGCCAGTTACCCCGTACACATTTTTTTTGTATGAATAGCAAATATTGGAGTATTTATAAAAAGAATTTGTCCTTTGGACAAAGGAAGAAGGAAAGAAAGAAAGGAAAGGGGGTTGAACAGATAAATTGAAAAACGAAAACCAGAAGTCAAGAACCGATAATAATAATAAAAAAAAGCCTTGAGTAAACCCCCATGGACGAAATGATGAGTGTCCCGTGAACTATTGCCATTGTATAAGGGTTATATCTTATATATGGGCGCTCTCTAGTAATCCAACTCCTCAACTGACTTCTTCTCTCCTCCACCAGCCGCATCGAGATCCATGTAACTTTTGACGCTTCTACCTAAGACTGCAAGTTCGGCTTCGGGTCCAGTGGAACCACCAATTGAACCTGACCTTCCACTAGGCCCGCCAGTGCCTTGTCGAACTTCACGCATATCTCTATCTCTTCTATCCCTCTCCCTCTCCCTATCATTCCTATCAGTGGGTCCGCCACGCCGACCAGCATATGGCGCATATCTTTCTCTGCCAGGAGGTCCACCGACAGGCAATATAGTACTGCCAGCTCCAAGCGGTAAGCGGTTATCTCTTCTCCTCATAGGACCTACGCCGTTTCCATCGCGGCGGGGATCCGAGGGGAGACCAGCACCACCAGGACCCCCGTTGAGGTGGCCAGGTATGTATTTGTCACCTGCGCTGTGGTGGCCCTGGAAGAATGCTGGGTTGAAGTTGAAACTTGCTGGTGGCTGGAAAGCGCCTGCAGCAGGACCACCAAATCCTCCTATTGGAAGCATAGGGAAACCTCCTCTACCACCCTGCACTGTCGTGAATCCACCTTGACTATTCTGTTCCAACTTTGGAGGGTGGACGCGGCATGGGTCGAGAACGTAACTGTTGACCAGGGAAGCCTCAGCCTCAACACCTTGAAGCCACTCTGAATGTTTCTTATCCAAATGCTTTCTCCAGAATTCTTCGGCTTTGAATAACTTTGTGCAGCCCGCGACTTTACATCTGTACTTGCCTTCGTCTTCCTGTTTCATACTTTTCATGATCTCTTCTTCCACGGCCTCATCGATTGGCTTTCCCCCTACTTTCTTGAGCCTTTCCCTGTAGTCCTCGTCATCTGGGTGGGGAGGACTAACAAACATTTCCAGCTTTTCCTGCCATGTCTTGGTCCAATTGATTGTCCTTGTTTCCGGCACATACTCACTGGACGGGGTGGGGCGTCTAGTATGCCCACCAGGACACTTTCTGGTGAGTTCATGTATGGAGTCGGATGAAGACACGCAGTAGATACAGAAAGAGAATACGCGGCGGAGGTACTCAACGCCCAGATCAATGGTCTTTTTCTGGATTTTGAGCTGGACTTCTCCCTCAGCGCCCTCTTCACCTTCTTCTTCACTACCCTCTCGTTTTTCCCTTTCCCCACGGCCATATTCGTCCACCTTGTCTTTGATCATTTCCCATCCCTCATACCCATTCATATCATTTTCGTCACAACGAAGTTCGGATTCGAACTTGATAATGCATTTTTCGACCAATTCAGCCTCCTTTTTGATGTTTTCAGGCATGCTCATGGCCTCATTTAAAACCTTTCTCGTCCTAGCATTTGGGGGACCATTGTGAATTCCCACATGGCACATAAAGTCACCATGAGTATCATCATGGATACTTTTACCATTCAGAAGCTCGACGGTAGACTCGTCAACAGTCGCAGGTTCAGAAGTGGGATCATTGGGATCAGTGGGAGATAGTAGAATGAAGCCAATGCGGTGAAACTTTTTCAAGGGGTTGGGGTCGGACAGAGAGACGAATTGAAAATTGGGCAGATTGCTGGCAGAAAGCTAAATTCATTCGTTATGTCAGCACTTGTCACCGGATATTCAAGTGCAAGTGGAACAAACCTCTTCTAGTTGCTTCCTGCTGACTGTGGGGCTGATTGTCTTGATCAACAGAACGGGCTTTAAACCATCATCCTCGATTCCTCTATTTACTTCTTCGATCTCTTCGCCAGGATCGGCACCAGAATTATCGCCCTGTTTTGGGGCGTGGTTGCCGCTTTCTCTGTCGATACCATCTAATGCCCCGTTCTCAAAGAGAACATTCCACCTTCTCCAGGCACCTTTTCGGTACGCTATAATCTTTTCCTTGACAATCTCTTTCTCACCGGCAACATAGCGTTCCTTAAACCATTCATCATTCTTGTGGGAACTTACAAAGCTCCTGGCAAGGCGCGCCTGTAGCTCTTCTTTGTACTCCTCGTATTTTTGTTTAACCTCTTCCTTCCTATTACTACCAGGTTCACTTGGGTTCTCCTGGTGGTACCAATCAGAGAAATAATTGAAAGCTACTTGGTAGTCCAATTTGTGTGGGTCAAATAGCATTGGGTTCGCAGCAATACTCTGAGGTGGAACGTATCGATCAATAGTACCAGGCTTGGCCCCTGGGATTGGGGGCATTCCAGGTGGATGGTGTGGATAGGGATCAAATCGTGGGCGCGAAGGAGAGCGCGAGCGGCGGGGTTGAGGAGAGCGGGGAACATAACGGTCGATGTTTCCAGTCAACATCGGGGGCGGTGATCGAGAGCGACGGCGATTACGAGGAGGCACTATGCAAAAATTCGTTAGCAATTTCCCTAAAAATGAACTCCCACTTAACCCGCATTTCCAGAAGGCCAGATTTGTTGCTAGGAAGACAGAATGCGATCACTGGCGAAAACAAGAAAATTGAGAAATAAGAAACCCACCAGGACTCCTGCCCCTGCCTCTCCCACTGCCATATGGCCAGTCACCATCTAACCTCTCCGGTCTCTCGGCTAACCGACCGTAGTCACTCTCCATGACAGAGCGATCCCGACTACCGCGGCTCCTATCCCTATCCCTATCACCGCCAGCATAGCGGTCGTTGGTTAAAAACGACATTTTTAGTAGTCACGAAAAGGGCTCACGGCGGTCAGCCGTTGCGAGGATTTTTAGTTGTCGTAAGACGCGAGAAACGCGACAATGCTGTGGTCGAAGACTTTGATCTGTGTACGTGCCGAGACATGACCGAAACCGTTAAAAAAGATCAAAAAGAAAGGAACAAATGTGAAGGGAAATGCGAGCGAAGTGGGGATAAGAGATTAATCAAGAGAGGGTAGGTGAGATAATAGTTGGGTAAGGGGGGGGAAGAAGAAACAAGGGGGAGTAGCGAAGAAGTAGGATGTGTGGAAGATCAGAGGAAGAAGAGCAGGAAAAAAAGGTAACACACGAGAAAAAGAGAAGAAAAGAATATAGAAATGCGAACAGAAAGAAGAGAGATTTTGGGAGGCTAACGATGAGGATTGCTATTCTATAAATGGATTGAATAGCGTAGTGGATGTGGCTGCGATGGTTGTTGTGATGAGCGTTGAAAGAGTGTGGTGGTGGTTGTGGTTGTGGTGGTGATGAGAGGGTGAGAGGATGGATGGATGATGGTGTGTGTGGTGTGGGTAAGAATATCAGGGAAGGGGGAAAGAAGATGGAAAATGAGACAAATGTGAGCTGACAGGTTGTCCTGTGAATCTTCTGCTGCGTGTGGAGAACTGCAGACAAAGCTCGCGCACGCACCACGGAGTACCAAGGGCCACATAACCCCCAAACGAGAAGATCATCAGAAAATCCTCAAACAGATGTGCTCTTCCACCCAATTCTAATTCCGCCTCAGTGCCAGTACATGGCAGTGGGACGTGGCTAATGCTGTACCTATTACTATTTCGGAGAAAAGTTTCAACGGTATGACAGGGTCAGCTCATGTTGTGCACTGTGGCTTGAGAAGCAGCAGCACGTCACCCCAAGGCCCTGCAAACTCATGTCCGATCCCCACGTCCGATATTCCGGGTGCGCATCTGGTTTGATCGTTCTCTCTTTTCCTGTTGTCTCCAGAGCCCATGTAGAGTCTACAAGTATATATATAATCAAACCAATTCCTCCATCCATTCATTTCTCTCTCTCTCAGTACTGCTCTGTTTCACTGCACTGCAAGTGAATACCTCAATCAAGCTCTTACATCGACAACTACCATGTCATTCTTTCCATACGTCCCCTCCATTACCCTTCCCTCGCAGGTCTTTAGCTCCCCTGTAGTTGCAATTCTCCTCCCAATAACACTCGGCTCAGCCGTTGGATACGCAACCCGACGTATGGCTTCAATCCAAACCTCAGTTTCGTCCGTAGAGTAGCTACTAACACCCCTCCAGCAAAGGCAACCAAGCAGGTCTATGCTGCCATCCGGCAGCCCCCCCTGCGTCCACCCGCCTGGGTCTTTGGCCCCGTCTGGACGGTGCTTTACGGCACCATGGGCTATGCAGCGTACCGCGCGACGACCATCGGGCTCGCACACCCCGACCCCTCCATCCGCAGCCTGGCCCTCGTCGGCACAACAGCCTACACCACACAACTCGGGCTGAACCTCGTGTGGATGCCGCTGTTCTTTGGGTTGAGAAAGCCTGCTCTGGCGCTGGCTGATATCGTGGCGTTGACAGCGAATGTGGGGACGCTGGCGGCACTGTGGAGTCAATGGGATAAGACGTCGGCATACCTGATGGTGCCGTATCTGGCGTGGTTGAGCTTCGCGACCTACATCACGGCCGGCGCTGGAGTGATGAACAATTGGGATATCTCCCGTGTGGAGAAGCAGAACTAGTTCGGTATTTGGGGGGGGGGGGGGGGGGTGACTAGCTGCCCTTTTGTGGGTTTGGTTTGTCTAGATATTTTCTTGGCTGGTGTGATACCCTGTAGTTTTACGTTTGCTTGCAGCAGATAGAGAAACGAAACGAATTGGATCCTCGAGAAAGAAGTCTGGTATATCTCGATATTATCGCGTGATTACGTGTAAAGAGCACGCCTCGGATAAGAGGATTAAGAGCATGTGAAAGAACTAAAGGATGTTTCAGCACTTCCTCTACAACTCCATGCACATAAATACACTCGAACTCCAGTCTCGCGCTATCAGCATGACCAATCACGCTACCCGTGACACCCATTCAGGGCCCACCACCCGAGTGACCGCCCATGCACCAGCCCTAACCCTGTAACTGAAATTTGAGGCTCGGGTCAGTCAGTGTCAACGTCAAAGGCTCAGGAAGCACCAACACAGAAAGAACACCAACTTGCAGCCAGCCAGCCAACTCTCTTTCCCCACCCCTTATCAAATCTAAGCAACTATTATCGAGTCGCGCGATCATGGGACGAGGCAACAAAAAGCGTAAGCAATCCAGCAACCCTTCATCCGGCCCCACCTTGCCCATGGAGGAACCACCAGAGCTTCCACCCGTGAAGTTTGGCGACTTCAAGCTCACGTCAAATTGCGGCCCCACCATCACGCACACGGAACCCAAAAAGGGCGGAGACGAACAAGAAGGGACTGAATGGGAGCCTGCGAAAAAAAAACAGAAGAAGGCGAAAAAGGAGCCAAAGGGAAGGAATTATCCAGAGATGGTACTGAGCCCGCAAAAATTGAAGAGCGCAGTCAAGATCAGCGATATACAGAACCTGGCGCTCTGGCTGGTGGCAGATGGCATCGCGCCACAGTGGTTGATGGTTCGAGTACGTTCTACCCTTATAGCTCTTGCAGGGGGATTATAGGTACTAATAATGAAGTGCAGAACAAACCAGAGATCCGTAGAGCCGTAGTACTAATGGTCCCAGGCCTTACACTCGACATGTTCACCACGCCACTATTACACCCATCCGCCGCTGCCTCCGCTGTTCCCGTCGCAGAAGACATCGGCGAACCCATCCACCGAGACGATACTGAGGTCATCAAGTCTATCGACCCCAAATCACCGTCAAAGGGCGTGTCCAAGCCCTCCCCCGACGCCAATATGCCCTTCTGGCCCACCGAACTCTCCGCAGACAAGCTCGCTCCATGTCTCTCCGAGTTTCCAAGAATGTTCAACCATGTCTGGCCCATCAAGGCTGCCGGCGACGAGCGTAGCGGTCGCCTCATTTCCCCCGTCAATTCCTTCCTCAACAGCCCGTTACCCAAAGGCTTCAACCCACCTAGCAATCGTACCTCAAAACGCATCGCGGCCTCAAGTCTCCTCATGTCCCTTAAACAGCTCATCGACGAACAGTACCCGCTACACTCTTCACAATTGGCCCAGCGCCGGGGCGTCAACCCACCTAGCGAAGAGGAGATCGCGCTACTCGCCACTCGCGCAGAAACTGGCTGGGTTGAGACAGACCTTACCCCGCGCGGCACACCCCGCGAGAACCAAAAAGGGTCCGTAACAGAGGGCTTCACCATCTACGCCATCGATTGCGAGATGTGTATAACCGCTGCCGGCGCTGAACTCACTCGCATCTCCATCCTCGACTGGGACGGCGATGTCGTCTATGATACCCTCGTGAAACCTAAACTCCCAATCACCGACTATCTGACCCGCTTCTCCGGTATGACCCCCGAAAAGCTGGCTAACGTCACCACAACCCTCCCCGACGTCCAAGCACACCTCAAGAATATACTTAACAACGATACCATCCTTGTCGGCCAGGGACTCAATAATGATCTCATCGCAATGCGCTATACCCACCCGCATATCATCGATACGTCTGTCATATACACACACCCACGCGGGCCGCCACTTAAGGCATCTCTCAAGTCCCTGGCGTCCCGACATCTCAAGCGTGAGATCCAGACCGGTGGCCCGTCGGGCCATGATAGCATTGAGGACGCTCGAGCGTGCCTTGACCTACTCAAAATGAAGCTTGAGCGTGGGGTAGACTTTGGCAATAGCGAGGCGGTAACAGAATGTATCTTTAAGAGAATAGAGAGGTACCCAGTGTATACCAAGGTCGGGGCCATAGTCGACGGCGGCACAGGGCTCGAGAGGAAGTGGCCGGGTGTGGCTAGGGCGATCAGCGCAAATACAGACGACGAAGTCGTTGAAGGCATCGCAGCGTGCGTGGCCGGCGACTCGCAGAACAAACCTGCCCACCTAGTATGGGGTCGGTTACGTGCATTAGAGGGCGTTCGCGGCTGGACAGGTACAGGGTCGGCAGTCGCGAGCACGGAGAGGCTTACCGACGCAGTTAAAGAGACAGCGGCATGTGTCAAGAGAATTTGGGATGCCCTGCCAAAATGCACGGCGTTCATTGTGTACTCCGGTACTGGGGACCCGATGGAGATGAGGAGGCTTCTAGAGATGCAGAAGGAGTTCAAGGAGCAGTATAAGACGAAAAAGTGGGATGAGCTGACTGTCCAGTGGACTGATGTTGAGGAGCAGCAGCTGAAAGAGGCGGTGAGAGTTGCGCGGTGGGGTATTGGGTTTATGGATGTGAAGTAGGTAGGGAAAAACTGATATGGGGGGCTAAAATCTGTATTATTAGAAATGAGTGAAGTCATGGTACTTAATTTTATGAATTTGGGCTGGGTAAGGCTTAACTATTGGACATCAAATCAGTAAAATCAATTGGTAAACGTTTATTTAGGGGTATTTCTAAAGCTTGGTGATATCACAAAGCAAGCTAGGACATGCACATGTTATATAAACCCGACAAAGTCCGCTCCCAACAAATCTTTATCACTCAGTCCAAGTACATACTTTACTTACCAAAATTATTCTGTGAGTAGGCCTCAAGATTTTCTATCCATCACTCTGTATCTTGGTGCTCCGCCTGAATGAAAGTTTTGGTTAAGTAGCATGGTACCATGCTGATGGGATATTAAATTCAAGCATAACTTCGAAAACTTTGACCCCATAAAAAGGACTACAGTCGTTTCTGGGTCAACGACGGACCCGGCTCGATGACGAGTGGCTACTTTTTGGGCTGATAGTCAGTCAAAGCAAAGGGGTCGGGGCGCTTTTACCGGCTTTTATTGGCCCCGACTGGCCTATTCGCCATCGAACTGGTTTCGTCGTTGACCCAGAGACGACTGTAGTCAAGAGATTCACGCAACGGGATCTAGAAGCCTCTGAAACCAATCGTAAATCAGTTTCATGTGTGAATGGGGTCAAGACGATTATGGACTCCCAATGAGTAAGATTGAAACTCGGTGGAGGCTAAGTAGCTTAGCTTGCTGTTTCTAATGACGACATAGCAAAAGATTAATCATTACATTACCTATTCAAGCTTGCCCTTATATGGGCGCAGATTGTTCAGCACGGTTGACATCTAGCGTAGTGATCCCTATTGGGGCGGTTGTTAGCTACTGGTTGGTTGTATTGTTACGATCTCATCCAGCCTCCCGCTATCTACCCGCCGCCATGCATGGTCCTACACCTCAACTGCGATGATCCAAACAATACTACATGTATCCAGTGAATAGGAAACGGCCCTCGAAACGCTGATCAGACCCAATGCCAATCGAATAGAATCGTCGTGTCACCACACAGCCATGCACGCCAACACGGAATGAGCTGAAGGAATAACATAGCCTTGTAGTGTGGAAGCTTCGACCCCGCCTTCATACAGTAATATTATTGTATATGTAGTAGCCCAGGGAGCTCTAGCTAGCTATGCCTTGCTTAATTAATAACAACTTCTACCGGCCATAGCTAACTAGTTAATTATCATTTTCACCATTGCACTATGGACTTCTCGGCTTTGTCGAATTCAGAACTGTATTGGAACCCTTGGTCCAGTACAGAGCAGCTTACCATAATTGCAACCGAGCAGCCAATACGCACGGTGCCAGAAACTACCATGGATATCTCTACAACTACTACAGTCGATAAAGAGGCGGTAGTACAAGACGGCGACGCTAGTATCAAACCTGATGACCCTCCTCCTCCTCAAATAATTGAAGAAGAAAAAGAAGAAGAGCATAACATCACAGCTGTAGACCTACCCCCTCAAAAGGATGCAAAAGAACAACCCACCAAGGATGTGACCCCACCTCCTCAGGAGATCCAAGGACCAACTCCCAAAATCATGGACCCGCCTCCCCCGGAGGTTAAGGTAGAGGCACATATCTCTCCACCGACACCTCCATCCCCGACGCCCCAGAAAAAACCCTTTGTAGGGATAAAATCTTTTCGAGTCCAAGGCATCCCGAAATCCTGGGCCGAAGACAAATTCGCCCATTACCTCACTTCTCAAGGCCTCGACCCCCAGAGCTTTACCGCCTCACTCTACCCGTCCTGCTCCGGCGCTGACGTGAGCCAAACCGCAGTTCTGAACCTGAAGCTGCAGGGCCCACCGCCGGAGCTTGTCAAGCCTGTGGTGGAGAATGGAAACGAATCGATATTTGTAGATGTGCCGGAACATGTAGCTGGTGAAAAGGGCGTGCAGTTCGAGATTGACACAAATTTTTACGATTTGACGCCTTTGAACACTCCAGAGGAGGGACGGGATATAGTTGAGTGAGACATCCCCTCTAGAGAATAATTAGACAAAGCTTTGAGTTGATATTTTGTACGCTTAGTATCGTTGCTGTGACAGGCCTTGCAGGGCACGCATATGGCTCTTGGAAGAGCCGGAAGACACAGAAGATGTGGCTTCAGGACTTCCTTCCCATTGAGCCTGATATTCGACGAGTTAGGATAATGACCTATGGCTATAATACCAAGCTTATCGAGGATACAATAGATGATGGGATGGTGGATTATCGGCGGCATTTCATCCAGCAATTGACCAATTCGAGAGATTCACCTGAGGTGCCAGCCGCTTTATGATAAATTGTCTAGGTGAATGATCAACTAACCCTGTAATAGAAAAAAGCGAGACCAATCATCTTCATTGGACACAGCTTAGGGGGTATTCTGATAGCACAGGTTTGACGAGAAATTCCGCCAGAGACTATATGGGGAGGTACTAAGCTTTCCCGGCAGGCGTTGGTGCATTCGAAGAATATCCAACATAGTCGACATATCCTTGACGCAACCCACGCCGTCATATTTTTTGGAACCCCACACAAGGGTCTTAAGGTCTCGCAGCTAGAAGACATGATACAAGATATTGAGAAGAACTCGGATTCGACACGACTCCATCTTCTCTCGCAACTAAAAGAGAGCTCACAGTCACACTGGTTAGAAGAACAGCGTGATCACCTTGCTGATGTGTGGGCGAATATCGGGATTGTTAGCTTCTATGAGACGGAGACAACACCAACTGTTGCGAAGGTGATTTGATTATTTTCTCCTACGTGGGATACACAAACAGAGAGCCCTGACTTTTCCCATCTAGTCTGAATCGGGCGTGTATGGGCGCTTTGGGGAAGAAGTAGAAATGGTGACGAGAGTGTCTGCACAGATGGGATTTCCTAATGAGTTTAGAATACCTATTGGACGGAGCCATACGGAGATGGTGAAATTCCCGTCAAAGATAGATCCGGCATATCGCTCTCTGGTATCGCATGTTGTTACTTTCCTACACGAAATTGGTAAGTGATCCCTAGTTGGGGTTGGTTATGGGAGATATGTATACTCATCGGTGCACAGAGTCAATCCAAGATAGGAAAAGATCAATCAAGAAATTTAAAGGTAGGTGAATATTTGGGGCCAGCAATTATTGAATTCTAGCTAAGCAGAACTTTAGGTCGCGATCGTAAGGCGGAGCGGGAGTTTCTTAAAAATTTGGCGGTAAACCTCCTATTGAAGCGGTGAAGAGGAAGAGGCTTCTATTATATATATATACACCTTAATATACTCTGATAAGATTTCTAGTTATTAAGGCAAAGATTATGGGGTACAACCGCCACTAGCATAAATATTATACTATAAAAGAGTATGTATGGAAGATGTTGCCTTTATTGGTTGTCTATCATACAGAGGGGCATAACAAGGCCGTTTTGTGCTCATAAATTCGTGCCAAAGAGAGACAGAATATGATTCTATCTTGACATATATAACCATGGTCTTCCATAGACTTCCCACTGACGGTTAGAACATTGCCCCCATGCTCGCACCCAATAATTTAACAACAATGCGAACATGCTGACCTTAAATGCCAGTTGGGGTATTCTACGCCCAATGGGAGAAAACTTGCACTATCATTTTTACGGGCTGCATAGAGGTAGTGAAATAAGTAAAACAATTTCAACAATAAAATCTAGCACTTGTGAGAGTGATATATCGTGATTGCACTACGGGAAAAGGTTTTCCCAGGTAGTGTTGGATTGATCAAGAAAGCCAATAAACCTTCTCGCTACGGTTTAATAGAGCTTAATAAACAAGTTTGGTTCAAGCTTGGCCTCCATAAGTCTGCCGAGAAACCGCGGAATAATACCTACAGCGGTTGGGATCACATATAAGAGCATTTCCATCCTGGTTGATACCCTGGCTTTCCTGGGGAAGGCTCGATATACCCTAAAATATTTTTGCCCCGGCCCCTAGACCAAAGCAGTAACGGCTTGGCATTCTTATTTGTCTTTCCGGGCCTTGTTTGGCCCCGTCACAATTGGTTACTCGCATATTGTCCCAATCAAATCTGATTGATTGATAATTTATTCCCCAACCATGCCTCATCCTGTTGTTAATTGATAATTCATTATATACTCTGAAGTCAGTTGATGGTCCATAATGCTCGTAAGAGGTTGCTTGAACTCATTGGCCACCCGTACCCCCACGTGTAGTATATACTGGTTCGATCATTATTGGTCAGGACCTCATTTTTGCGGTTGACTCGTGCCCACCCCTCTCAGATTTGGAGTGCTACATCGGATCCGGAAGAACTTTCTAAAGGACTAAATTAATAGAGTGCACCGAAGAATGTATATATACCTGATTAAGGGTATCATAATATATAAGTCATCCAGCTCATATGGAATGATTTTCCCATAAAATTGATTGTATTTTCAATACACCAATCTGTGGGAAATCAGGGATCTAGTTTAGACGGATGCTGTTAGGTACTAGTTATACTAGCTGACCAGTAAGATGTAGCCTTCCATGTAAATATACTTGAGTGGGTCGGCCAGACTTTGAGGAGAGCCGTCTCGGGTTGCTTTAGCGTGGGGTAACTATACTGGTAGCCATATTCAACGAAAACATATCGACCGAGCTTGTTGAGATACACCCCGTAGCTCGGGCGACCAAATTGTGCCGCAATATTTTTCTAATCAGAGCCAAGTTTGTTCATAGGGGATGTAGATTCCTAGGTTAAATCAACTGGAGGATAAATGATTCAATTAAAGAATGAACTTCACTCGTTGGTAATAATACCCATTACAAGCTCAACCTTCCCGAGGATTTACTTATGTGCTTTCCTTTGTAGAACTCTCCTGCCAGTAGGTTTCCCCTTATCTATGATGGGAACACTCATAGCTTTTCTCCGCTTTTCAGTCAGCGATTTTATTCGACTCTCCGTTTCCTCCTCCTCTTCGTCCCCTTCTCCCTCCCGCCAGTCTCCTCCAATCTCCTGGTACTCTTCGCCGCCATCATTATTGTCGATATCTTCCGCTTCATCCGCACTCTGTGAGTTCGGCACCTCCTTTTTGGACCCTCTCTTGCTTTTATGGTGTGTAACTGGAGAAGCTCCACTATCCTGCTTACGAACACCAGAGATGATATCGTCGTCGGCTCCTTTTCGCTTTCTTTTGTGTATTACTGGTAGAGGAGCCTTTTGTGGTTTCCTCTCTTGTCCCCGGAACCCCAGTTGCAGACCAGCTTCATTCATGGCTATATCATCCTGTTGTGTTCGTTTCCGGGGTTGTTTGTTTTCCTTAGATAGAAACATTTGTTCCCCAATTAGAGAGCCATTTTCTTGGTCATTTCCATGAATTCGAAGCCTTTCCCCTATCTTCTCAATACTCTCTTCCAGGATTTTGACCTTCTCCACAATCTCGTTAAGAGTCTCTGTCCTCCCCATCCAGCCCTGTTTTGATTCGAGCTCTACCCCGCTTGTGCCACCATCTTCCAGGTCTATGTCTACTCCCGTAGACTGCCCTAACTTCTTTAGCTCCCTTATAATATCTCCTTGTTCTTCACGGAGCATAACACAAATCGTCATAATATGACCAATATTCTCCGCTAAAGCGTCGGGGGAAGGATGAATTTGCGTATAGATATCTGAGGTGGCAGCGATAGGAAGTGAGGGTGCATCGGATGCATGATGATAAAACGAAAGGGCTGTTATATTGAGTGTGTATTTATTCCTGGAAGGCCGATACGGGTTAATAGATATTCATAGGGGGGAAATCTCGAGGGTGTACAAACTGCAGAGCAGAAAGCTTCGAAGTAGTTGCAAAGTACATCTTCCCCAAAGCAGTAGAACATTTTCCACATATAATGTCTTTGTAATTACTATTCCCCCCGATTAACAACTCCATATTAGCTTCCAACGTATACAGAGGGACGACGCCAAGAATCCATACCAAAACTCGTCCCAAGTGCCCTCTATACTTGTCTTTAATCCTCCAGGACCAAAATTAGTGGACACCATCCGATCCAACGTGATAGTGCCCATCTGCCGGGTCGCACACAAAAAGGCCGAGCTATCTCCGACAATTCGTTCGCAGCTTGCACATGATAGTGTTATGGGTTGATGCTGTTGAGATTGCTGGGACTGGTCCGAATCATAATCTTGGTGGGGATTACTACCGTCCTCATTAGGGAGTGAGAAGAAAGGTGAGGCTTCGCGAGCCTGCTTGTTAGATCTGGAGTTAGCTAGGCCTTTGGAAGACATTTGGCTGCGAGGAAGACGTGAACGAACGCGTCTAAAGTACAGACTTTTGTGATAGCAGGCGAGGTACGCGAGGATTGCTTGGCAAGTCCATTCGAACGTCACGGCTCACGGCTTTGGTCCTATATGTAGTAACAGTACCTACATGTATTTACCTGCATGAAATTATCAAAAGCGTTTGAGAAGAGATTTTGTGCAATCTATCGACAAAAAAGCGCACAAAAGTAGATGATACAATGAATATACAAAAAAGAGAAACATCAAGACAAAACACGGATACGATAGACAAAAAAGGGATGTGTATAAATGTACATTTTAAACTCCTCTTCTCCCATACCCTTCTTCTGCTGCTCTTACTCGATCCCTATTATCTTGATTTTTCCCTATAGAAGAACATGAAAAAATAAAATCCCTAATCAAAGCAAAAAACCCCATGAACAACCAGAAACCCCGAAATTTTTTAGTGTTCCATATCCATTTTTGTTACAGGGTGGTGTGTGATTTATTCAGGGACCTCTGATCTAGGAGTGTAGGATCGGTGGTTGGCAAACTGTCCCTGTTGGCGATCACGTTGTTGATATTCGGAGCGACCTCCTTGACGGTCATCACGACGACCACGGTTGAAACCACCCTCTCGCCTGTTACCTGAGAAATCGATACGAAGGCGTCGTCCGTACACCTCAGCATCGGCAAGCTTCTCCTTGGCCTTGACAGCAGACTCGACATCAAGGAAGTCGGCATGGGCAAACCCACGAGGCTCACCAGTGGCACTGTAATTTAACGAGAGTCAGTAGGCTCTTTCTCGCAGACAAAACGAATCAGTGTGGATATTCTTACCGGTCCATAGCGACACGCACATCAACGCAGTTCTCAATATCCTTGAAAAGATTGTTGAGATCATCATCAGTCACATCGAAGCTCAAGTTTCCGATGAACAAAGTCCTGGACTCTGGGCTAGCAGCAATGCGCGACGCTTGCTTGACAACGTATTGAACGATCAAGCGACGACCCATAAACATCTCGTTGTGCATCTTGTCAATGGCTTCAGCAGCCTGCTCAACTTCAGCGAACTCAACATATCCAAATCTACGAGGAATGAGCAGTGGTCAACTGTAAACTCCCTTAAAAAAGACTTAAAGTTAACATTCCAAAGGACATAAGACATACCCTTTGCTTAGACCTCTTGAATCATAGATAATCTTCGCTCCTCTAACTTCTCCAAATCTCTTGAACTCTTCACCAAGAGTCTCGGGAGTGGCATCGAACTGGACGTTTCCAACGTAGACAGTCTTAGCGGGGGTCAAATCAGCACCCTCAGTGCTCTTGTGTGCGGGGTTAGTGAACTGGCTTGGAGTGTCGATTGGGGCATCTGTTGAGTTATAGCGAATTTGCAAGAGCGACTCGAATGAACGGAGTTCAGAGAGGTTCTTTGGACGACTGCTCGAAATAGTGAAGGTGCTAGGCTTAAACGCCGTCGACAAAGGACGAGCGCTGCTTGCAATTGAAGTCTGACGTGCAGCGCGAAGAGCGAGGCGGCGGAGAGAAAACCTAGATATGGCGTTTAACATAATCATTCATGGGGCGACATAAGGAATACAAACGTACATTGTGAGGATCAATTGAAAACGGTAATAAGAGATTGGCTGAGAGAGATGATGGAAGTGAGGAATGATGGGGGAGAAGAGAGGAGCGACGAGATATTTGTTTGAGATGTGGGCTTATGGTTGGAGGCGGATCTTGGGCAAATATTTTTTTTTCCCTTAGCGCGGGAAACTTTGATAACCCCACCAAGCTAAGTCACGTGAGCTCAAACAAAAATGCATCATAACATTTATGGAATACGTATGTTTTTAGATTCTACTACTACAGTTCTTAATACTATATTTATCCATTCTCTGATCTTTTATAATAGGAACTTTTATCATCAAGATAGTAAGCCTCAAGTGAAAAAGCCGAAATTACCCGGACTTTACATTATATATTCCATCCCCTAACCCTTATCTGCCTAGTATGTACGTAGATAAGGGTGCTAGGGATATGTAATCAGATCTGCACCAATACATGTATCTAGACGCAATCCTGGGGGTATGGTTAAACTGGGGAATGACTAATTTCAGGAGAATTCCTGAGAATATGCTCTATTCTTTGCAAGAATATAGAAAATCGTTTTTGATTGTCAGGAGTCGACAAGAGTGCTGTTTACTGGAAGCCCTTTTCGATTTTGTGAGGAGTTGGCCGTCGTACCCCAGTTTAACCATATATATACATGTATGCATACCCAGGATTGCCTCTACTCAATTATATAATTCATCGAACACAACTCACTACATACTTTGTGTATTCCCCTTATTCTTTAACTGTGCATGTATGTACATGTAGTTTCAGGTCTTTACGCTTTCTTGAGGTGTAGTTACTCTACATGTAGCCTCTAATTAGTTTTACCGACTCATTATTACATGTAGTTTAAGGATTAAAACAATTTCACAATATACATAATAACTCCAGCGTACATGTATTTTTAGTCATAAAACTCTGCTGCAGTTAGTATATTTAGGTACTTACTTCGGTTTTACGCTGAACTCGGGCTTACATGTATTCTCGTGCAGTGAGCTTAATCAAGTACATGTACTAATAGGACGTACCACCGGTTTCCATACAGTTATTGTATGAGTAAGTTTTGATATCAAGGTACTACTAAGTACATAGTATGCTTCGTATTGGTTGTCCATCGAGAGAACCACAAGGCCGCACGCGCAATCAAAGTGCTAGATGTGCACGTACATGTACAAGGCTCTGGCATTAAGTGAGTAAACGGATCCTCACCTAGCTGTCAACACCCCATGTAGTTCGCTCACTTAATGCCAGAGCCTTGTATGTCTGCGAACGTGCGTGCCTATATACTATCATAATCCAGTACATAATAGATAAATACATATGTACCAAATTTGCATTAACCACTAAATTTACAAAGCCGATGACAGAAAGATTAACCCTCTGACAGATTCAAATCCAATGAACAATTACCCCGAAATTCTAAGGAAATAATTTATGATTGTTGAGAAATAGAGTTATCTTCTACCATATACCTTATTTTCTCTCTTTTTTAATCTCTGGTCTCCAGAGATTCTCTGACCACATGTAACTGAATACACATGTAGCTACATATTGTGCATGTATGTATGACCATGCAAAGTGCCGAATCAAGTACATGCAGTAATCCGTAGAAGCAATACCTTTTTGGTATCCTAAACCCTGCGCTCCATTTACTGGTGGGCCAGTGGTGGCTTGGAAATTACATACTTCATGAGATACTAGTTCAATTCTGTATCTTCTACTAACTTATGACGAGAGCGCTATCTCATTGTAATTTGTAATGTATGAGCACTAGAGAGTACATGTATATATGTATACACGTCAAGTCGAGAACAGTATCAAATATCTCTTTATCTCTATGTGATAGACATGCCAACGAAATGTCCCACAGGTCTCCCCCCAACCCAGCCTCCACGCCCTCCATTATGAGAGAAAAAGGGCCCTAGTAGGCACGCCAGTTTCTTGAAACACGGAATATAATTCATATGATCGCCCACCAAATTATCGAATAGGTCATTCATTCAGAGTGGTTGATATAGCCCGGCCATACTAGGTATCGTATTCGGCGATGTTGTGTCAGATGCCGACGATTGCTGTGACTGTCCTCCCCCTCCACCACCTCCATCATCACCATGTGTACCTGTTACACCACTACTAGGACTTGGGTAGCCATAGGTCGTCATGGGCATGTTTGTTGAGAGCCCTGCTAGAACTGGCCATGCAGAAGATTGGCTAGTGTCCATGTTTATACCTTGCATGAAAGAATCCCAATCATCCTTCAAAGTATGTTAGCGCGGGTAGTACATCACCAGGAGGCAAGAGTCAATTTGATGGTTAGAACATACCCAGTCTAGATTAGCTGTCATATCCGGACCATTCGGCGTCCATATTGCAGAGTTCCCGTTAAAAGGCATTTGGTTTCCATTTGAGCCGAGGCTTCCATAGCCACCATTACTAGCATCCCCCATAAGAATATTAGTACCCCCAGGAGTTACCGCCCTATCGAGCATCATCCCGGCCGCTGCGGAACCAGGCGTCATTCCACCGCCACTCATCATTCCTAATGTCATCGCAGCTGCTTGTTCGCTCTTTAATGGATCATTTGGCGAATCAACACTTTCCGAGCTTGTCGATGATGGGGTGGCTGTAAATGTTTGTGTTGCCGGTGTACCTGCAGAGGCAGTACACGGGGTACCTTGAGACAGAGCAGAATTTGATTTCAAATCTGTGGCCGGAATTTGTGAACCGGGTGTAATTGCCGACGGGGATCCCACGAGTGAGACGTTAGAACGTAAATCAAGGTGCCCAGCGGGATTTGAGCCTCTAAGCTTATCCAACATAACACAGAGCACACCATAGGCCTTCACACAGTCCATACTACTTTCCTTTTGGTTCTCATATATCATCTTGGTGCTTTCGAGTACCCTAAATTGCTCCGCCCTCCCGAATTTCCAGGTTTCGCAATCCACTTCTACGCCTTTTTTAGCAGCATCGTCTTTGCGTTCTTTACAGCTTGTGCTTAGATCTAAACATATAATCATTGCTGCATGTAGGAAGTCATGACACCCGAGACTCTCAGTAAACCATCTTGCATGTCGGAGTGTGCTCTGTGATTCGAGAAATATTTCTGACTGGTGCTTCAGAAGGGTCATGGCTGCATCGACGCATTTCCGTCGACTGTTCTGATACCTAGGGTTACTTTGCGCTCTTGCAGCGTACGGTCGATGTAGGGTAACCAATGCCTTCTGCACAATTAAGTCCAGGTTATAACGTTGAATAACTAGCCACGCAGGGTCATTTTTAGACTCTTCTTTTGTCTTCAGATGTAAGAAGGTAGGTGATTTTCCATACAGCTCACGGAGCTCTGTGTCTGCCTTTAGGATTTGGTCATAGGCCGGTCGAGGTACCAGCGAGCTTGCTTGCGCGACGATTTTTGCGTATACTCTTGATAAAGATGCTTTGGCGATCATATACGAAACCCCCGTCAGCTCCTCACGACCTCGCTCTTGAGGGATAGTAGTGGACGTTTCGATAATCTCGTCGTCGTGCAGATTCAGTGGTAGACCAGTATCGCATTCATCCATCCGAATCATAGAAGGCAACCCAATCTTGATCGACTCCAAGATATCCATACAGCATATTATGGTCCATAGCCTTTTTCTTATCTCGCCCTCGCCAGGAGAAATCTGCGGGAAATTCTTAGGATCTCTGTGGAGGCCCATGCACAAGGCAAGCCTGACAAGTGAACCAAGTAATAGCCAAGTATCCTCCACTCGATCCTTCGAGTACATATTTTGGGTCACTAGCAGGATTAGGGTTTGAATAGTATGGATGTACAACTTTTTTGAGTAATCCCCCACGATCAGACACTGTTCGGTGGCTGCCTTAAATGCGTGCGACATTTCGATGGTTTTTCCAACAAGCTCCTGTGGTTCTTCCCCGGATCGATTGTAGATTCGCAAAGAGAGACACATTATCGACATTAGAAGTCCCAACCAGATCATATCAACCTGTGATGGATCCCGCCAAAAGTCCTCATATTGCTTATAAAAGGTAGGTCGATGAAGCACATCTGGACTGCGTTAGTTGAAGCTTTCATAATTCGGTGTTTTATAAACCATGAACGTACGAAATATAGGGTCATAATTTCTGAAGAAAGTGTCCACCAAAAGGTCGACCAGATCTTGTCGTGGCACCAGCGCCAGCAATTCTTCTTTGCCTGGAGGCCTACCAGCTGAAAAAGGGAAACCGGTTCGCTCCAATCGCGAACACGTATTCTTGGCCCGGAGATCGGCCAATCTACCTTCATATGTTTGTTTCATCTCATTGAAGAAATTTTTGACCTCCGAAATCTATCCACGTTCCAGCTTTGTCAGCAATTGACGTCCAAAGATCGAAACCCAAACGCACCGCTTCTGTTTACGAGGCTCCTTTTGGGTAAAACAGCTCCATATCAGAATAAGCGGAACTGGGTCATGAAGTCTGAAATAAACTCTCCGCAAGGAGCCAATCCTGATAATAGTAAAGAGACGGGAATCAAACCTCCGATAAGATCGCCGCCCAATGGGTTTCTCCCCTGTAATAGCTCTTCCCTTGTTCAACCTTCATGATCCCTAGAGCGCTCCGCACTTCCTCGACTTCTTCCTCGATCCCACCACCATCCTGGGTTTTGCTACCTTCATGCTTGCTTTCGATTCCCATATCCTCTTCTTCGTCATCAATGTATTGCCTGCTCCTCAGCTCATCTTCTGTGCTATCAGATCTTTGGCGGTTTCGTGGTGATGAATCGGAACTTCCATTCGAGCCCATCAAACTTAGGACAAGTCCCTCCAAGCGGTCGATACGTGATTGCATCTCGTCTGATGATGTATTTGAACCGGATGACTGTTTTCTGGCACGAGTATTATGAGGGGTCATTGCATAAGTACATGAATTCGGATCCGCCCGACGAATACAGTTCTCACACGGGTGAGAACGGTTGCATTTTAGTCTAAGGAATGAGTATTGGTTCTAGGCCATATCTTATTATTAGGCGTTCAGTAAAGGGTCGTGAAAAGTCACGCTTGTTTCACGACCTTTTACTGGACGCCTTAGTATTGAACCTAGGAAAGACAATATCTTACTTTCTATTACGACAAGGAGCGCACGACAAAGGTACACGGTTGCGCTTTCTCACAACTCTGTAAGAGTTTGAATTAGTCTGCGTTGCTTGCTCTGGTGGCGAATGTCCAGTTGACGAGGAAGTGGGTGATGGAGTCATGATAAAATCAAAAGTTGCGCTGCTTCACTGTTTCGTTGTATCGTGGTTTGCTAGTCGAAGTGCAAACTATGTTGCAAATTGGTGCTACCCCGCTTCGTTTTATTACTGTGATTTTTTTTTCCTTCTTCCCCTTTGCTAAGCCGTAGATTTCGCTTCTTAAGCTCTCAATGGGATTTAAAGGTTTAAGGGTTCGATAGCTCCTACTTGACAGCCCGGGTTTGTCAAGTCAGTCCTCTAGTTATAGTTGATCGAAAAAGCTTTATCGATGCGGGACGTGCGGAATACGACCCTTTCAATCAATTCCAAAGGCCAGGGTGCCCCAAAAAGTCCCTGTTACGCGCGTCAGTCGACTGGCGGCACAACAAATTAGACAGGGCTCGTGAAGAACTGGGGCACTGTTGAGATGGAGCTTGAGGTCTGTCGAACAAAAAGGACTCGCAATGGTTGATTGCTACCTACTGTTGCGACCAGATTTGAAACTCAAGTCTTTCCGTTTTAGAGGAGGGAGGCGCAGCAACTATCCCGTCAGAATAGCAGTTTGGTTGTTACAATAGATATTTACTGAAGCTCGAGGGAATTTTAAGAGATGGGCTAGATGAGATGAATGGGGGCGATGATGAAACTCCTCATCTAAACGTTCATGTGGGGGATATGAGCTTTGTTTGGACGGATGCATACTCTACAAGTTCTAGATAGTGGTGGTTACCGTTGCCAAGACAGCCCTTAACCTCTAGCTATCTTTTCTCCGTTATCTCCGGGCCTTCAAGTGGTTAAGAGAGACAGAGGACCCTGACAAACACCAATGAATCGAATAAGTACCGGCACAAACTGCACCTTAGACAGTGGTGAGTGACTCATGCTCCCTTTTGATACCGTATTTTCCTTTCCCTAGCTTAGTAGCTATATAGGCTCTTCAAACGAGAGTCGAAAGTCTAAAGTTTTAACATACACTTTTCTTTTTAGGTCTTCTCCATTCGGGCCGACAACCAGGCACCCAGTCAAATACGATATGCTTGGTAGACATACATTTCAACCTTCAGGGACCATATTCAGAATCAACGATGATTGGACTATCTATGTTAGGACCAATTGCCAATGGGCCGCGCCGAAAGTCTTTAAAGTTTCAAAGTTCCACAAGTCATCATAAGCGCCTGACGCCGCATCCTGTTGCAGATGCTTAACCAAGTGCAATATTGAACCCAACACCACCACATAGAAATGCTCTACATGTCTAGCTGTTACTCTACCTGAGCTCCTAGGAGTCATAGACTGTTGCATTTACTCTATGTGCGGCCCAGTGCGGGCGAGCGATGACGAGTCATCGTTCCTGTTTTGACCTTTGGATAAACCGGCTCATTCACACCGGGATTACAAAACAAAGCTGTCAAACCAACATTTTGAAATCGTCACGAGATGAGGAGCAGCGGGGACAGAGGGGGAATAGAGCGGTATTCTGGGTAAGGAAGTAAGACGATTAATGACACCATGCTATCAAAACCATTATCTGCCCTCCAAAATAAGGACCGTTACTTTAGCCTTGTTGCTCTCCAGGCAAAGTGTGCTGTTTGAACTCCTGAAGATACAGAGCCTCTCCCAAACCCGAGGTTGTGGAATTTATTGGAGAGCTGGTGGTCCTCGAGATGGATGGCAACATATCCTCGCGGGAAACACCGAAGCCTTGGTACTCTTGGTCAAGTTCGATCGAATGCTTCCTGTGTCGATCCTGGCATGTTAGACATCGATTCTCCAAGCCCAGGAAAACCTACCGAATAGCTTGTCTGTGTGACATGGACAAGGATACCTAACTTCTTAGTTAGGGTTGGATACTGCGGGTTCTAGGCCTTGTGAAGCTGTCTGTCTGCTAGGACACCATACTCTAGCAGTACTCTAGAGTACCTAGTGCATCCCTGTCCCAATAATCTTCAAAAACTTTATTCAACTCGGAGCCGAGTTACGAAATAAAAACAGAGACATCACAACTTTGGATATGGGGTAGGTAACCCGATTTTTCTCCAGCTCAGTTTACAACACATTGTACTCTCTACATAAAGGATTGCTGTACCGTTGATCAGGTCTGAATGAATATTCATGGGGTTTTATGGGGTAGCGTGCTTGCTGCTCCTTAGTTTAGTTCCTTGACAACGGTTCTTTGTTGGCTAGCTCCTGGATAGTTATGGTAAGCTCACGGATAGCTGCGGATACCATGCGACACTGAGGTTTGGGATCTCGATTGTCGGGCGGATCTGTACCTTTTGAGAGTTACAAGAGATATGCAGTCGGCCATCGAATCCTGTCGAAATGCGGCGTTCCATCGCTTAATCCTTAAACGAAATGCAGAGGGCTACTCTAGGTATGTTTGTTTAATTTTCAGAGAAAAGAAAAAACCGTAGACCGAGCTCCAGTACAGACCTGGAAATTATTGCATATACCATCGGAACCTGTGTTCTGGAGAGGAGAAAAAATCTCGATCATTGGCAGTCTCCTCTCGCGGCGGTTCGTTGCTGCCCCGGTATGGTATCGGGATCGCAGATTCGCCGAGATCAAAAGCAGCAGCAGGCAGGAAATTTTTCATTCCTTTTTATGTGTTGAACGATTCGTTACCACGCAAGGCTGGAGGAAGAAAAATTCTTCGTATTCAGGTCTCATGATTTGGATATATCAGTTCATGTGAGCTCGAGAAGCGCAATTCAGAAAGGCTACTCATCAGTGCGCCCCCAAACTTTCATAATCCAAACCCCCAATTTTTGTCAGAATCCAGCCATTCATTCCTGATCGCTCTAATCGCGAAAAGCATTAAAGTGGGTAGAGTACATACGGCGAATCCATTCAGCGAGAAGAACTAGAAAGTACTACCGGTTAGTAGAATTGGTGTCAATAAGTGCCGACATCGATAGAGTCTGTCAGTGCGAAATGCTTGAAAGACAGTTCTCTTACTTTGTTCCGGAAACAACCGCGTTAGTGCCGGGTGTACCCCCTCAGCCTCAATGTTTCGTTTATCGGTACCTGTGCCTGTTTTTTTTACCTCAACGACCGGATTGTTGCAACACCACGTGAGTAATCAACTTTCTTTCTGTGAGAAATTTCTCTGTAGGTGGTGACTTCATTTACTAGTAATAGATGTCGTGGGGGGTGGCTGTTCCCTCTTTCTTGTATGGAAGAAACAAAAATAAGCCTGACTTTGATGATGACGACTAGAAACACGACATTGGTGGAATATATGGAAGAATTTCTTTTTGTTCCATTGTTTCTCCCGGGATCCTGATCAGTTTCTTCTTTTCCACCTACATACATTTTTTCTTCTCCACTTACGCGAGGGAAAGGAAGAAACAATTTGTTTCTCACAATCATTGGCAGGGTGCGGTGTTTCTTACAGAGCAATGAAGAAAGCATCCAACGAACTAGAAACCCCGGACGTGACGACATGTGAAAAGAGGCTGGATTTCAAGAACAGAGACTTGATGGGGGGCCCAAGTTGGTATATGGACCCAGTACCATCCAAAAGAAAAGACAGTTGTCATACTTAGGTACATGCGCTGAGGTGTTCCTATGGTCCACTAAATCGGCTGCATTGTCAGTCAGCTTGGTCAATTACGATTGACGATGAGAGATAGGGTACTCATTGGGGTCTGGGAGCCTTGGGCTGGATGGGAGAGGGGGTGGTCTTGGATTCTTGGGGGGGCGCTCGTGCATTACATCACGTCGGCTGAATTCATGCAGCGATACTGCGATTCGTCGACGTGACAGTAGAATGTGGTTAAGGGCGTGACGCGGGACACGGCTAGTCACACCCTTGTTACTCTACCCCATACATTAACCCCTAACCCTGAAGGTGAGCTGGCACGCTGTTGGATCAAAAGCTAAACTGATCCATCATCGTCATCCATCTATCCTCCCCTGGAACAAAGAACTGGATCGATCGGTCAAGAATAGCCGCCATTCTGAGGACCGAACACACGTTGATTCAAGCTTGAATCATCGATGAGTACAGCCTTACCCCAGAAAACGGACGGACGGACGCCATAGGAGTGCTTTGGCGGGCATGAAGTACCTACTTCTAACTGAGAAAGAGAGTCGGATGTCTCTCTGATGGGCTTCCGGTTGGTGCATAAGATAGCGGAAGATGTTTCAATAACCGTTTATTACTGATATTAGCCTAGTTTGTACATCTGCGGGCGAATATATTTCCGGTTAGATAGCGATTTTTGCAGCTAAGGTGGTTGACAGGAACATACATGGTACAGATAACTACATGTACCTACTCTACTAATTCTACTTTGCACACCGTACTAACTCCACATTGTCTGCGTTGCGCGTGTGCGAGTGTCCCATAACTCAAGTATTATGTATGCCATCAAAACTCGGGCTTTAAAGCCCATCGAAAGATTGGAAGCCCTCCGAAGATGAGGGGATTTCCCCCATCTTCATGATCGAGCTGAGGCATTACTACATGTACAGCAGGTACCTGGTTTACAGCATCGAATCGCAAGGGGAATCTGGAAACAAGACGAAACATCGGGCTATTAACAGCGCACACAAAACTCATCCCAATCTCTATTGTATCATTGGCATACGCTTGACAGAAGGGGGGTGAAATCCCAAAAAAAACAAAAAAATATTCCTTTTCTCTTTCCTTTCCTTTTCTATCTGCACGCCCAGAAAAACTCCTAGAGTACTTTCAGGATAGTCAGCCCCGAGGTTGTCTCATGCTCCGACTTTCGGCTTAACTTTCCCGGGGCATGGCCTGTGCGCAGCTCCCAAAAGCATCCCTATTCATTGGAACAAATGGGATTCCTGGTTATCAAATTACTTCCTCTGCGGGCTCTAACGGATAATTGCCGCACCTCCCGGCCAATTGAGGTCACAAACGTGTGGAAATCGCGAATTGGGCGAAATCCACGCTGCGATCTGGTTTGTCAATTCTAATCTCGTATAGGTAACCCCTCCAGGCTTCGTGCTGCATTACTGCATTAGTGTTTTTCCGGTTTGATGTGTGGCCATGCCGTTACGGAGAATGTGGGTGTCGCAGACTTGCTATTTTGAACGAACTAGAGGTCCGCTGGGCGGACCAGGGTTTATACTATAATATTGAAAATCCCCATCCATTGCCATGCTCTTCCTTGAGCAGTTCTTCCCTCGTGTTAGCGTTCTTTTATTTGAATACTAAAACTATCCCATCTCTTGGGTTGTTTTTCTTTACATCGTTGACGATGTTTTCGAGTTTTCAACAAAGGTTTCCGCTGCAAGACTTGAAGCAATGGGTACCAATGTTGGAACTGTTTCCATTGGATCCCGAGGCCTTGAGTGCTGGGCCTCCTGTATGTACTTCTTTCCACCCTGATATATGCTATTGATCCGGCTTACGGCTAGTAACTAACAATCACTTTTTTGCATAATCATCCAGGATGCCGAAATCCTTTTGGAAACCTTTTTGCCAGGAAGTGTGTACGGGCTTTATCAGAAGGGTGAAATGTTCCCAAAGCCGTTCTGGACTCTCCCACCTAGAAAAGTGTTTCAGACGCTACCAATTTCGACCTCACTCCCATTAGAATCGATTTCAGTACCAAAGGTCGTTGTATCATCTTCGGACTCCGAACTACCAATTCCAGCACCACGGGCCATTGTTGCAGCTGAAATTCCTCGTGTGCAAACACCGTTGACATCTGAGATCCCTGCCATTCGGAAGAAGATTTCGACCCCATCGTTCAACACCCGCCCCAGTACTCCAACCCGTCCCGGTACCCCAACATGCTCCAGCACACCAACCCGTCCCAGCACTCCGGTAGATGTTCGGTCGTCCCTTCCTCATAGCAACTCCAGCTCATTCTCTACGCTGAAAAAAAGTCCTTCGGTTCGTGATTTTCTTGGAACGGCAGCAAATTTTGCGAAGGAAACAAAGCCAAAACCAGCTACACAAAAAGATGTTGCCATTAGTACTCCAGTTCAAGTCCCAGCTCCAACTCCGGTCCCAGCTCCAACCTCAGTCCCAACTTCAGCTCCTACAATGGCTTCCCTTCCGTTAGAACGTTCAGTAGTCTCTATTGAGCCCCTTGGTGATGGTCCGATTGTTGTGCGGGAGACAAAAAAACAGGAAATGCAAAAAGAGCATATGGCATTGGTACAATATTATTCGCCTGTAATTCAAGTACCTCGGCCCGATTCAGCTCAATATAGAACTCTTGATACTCAGAATACTTGCCGAAACGAGACTTCATACAAATCCCCAGAACAATCGTCGCCAAGCCTTTCCAAAGGTTTGAGTTCTAATGTCCACTCACCGAAAGAAGAATTCGGGGCTGTGCCAATGGATCCTCAATATCAAGCGCTCATTACACGGTATCTAAAAAAGCTACAAATAGAGGCAGTCAAGGTTCATTCACAATTCTCACCTGCACCGCCAACCAACAATTCTCCGGTACTTCAACAATGTTCCCTTATTCGCTTCGATCGTGCTTTCAATCGGTTTGATATTCCGAATAGTTATTTTCCGGAGATACACATTGAATCACGGCATCGAGATTATGTTCACCACTTTATCAAAAAATCCGTTTTTAAAACTGCTGCTGCGGGGTCCTCACGATCCATCAGGGAAGTTATGCAAGAGTTGCGGAAAGGTTTGATTGACTTCTCTGGAAGCGGTTTTCGTTGTCATGAAACTAATCATCCTTACAGATTCGATATTCTTAAACACTATTGAACCTGGCGCAATTTTACAGGCACTCGACGATGCAGTTGTGGCTCGTCTTCGACAATCGTTATCCACCCAAAACAACTCCATAACCCGTTTTGGCGATGCATCTGCAAGGATGGATGACTTGAGAAGGTTTTTGGAAAGTTTGACAAAGGATAATGGACAATGCGTTGAATTTGAGCACTGGATCGAAGAAGTGCGTCTTCTTTATTTATTCAGTTATCTGCGCAAATTGCGCGCTTTAACATCCACACACAGCATTGATGCTAATGCATTGGTTCAGGTCCCTGTGGACAGCGAACAAACTTTGCCAATCAAGTTTACGGTTGATTTCGCTGATGGAACACCGGCAATTCGTGGAACTTTATCTGGACCTAATGTGTTGAAGGATTCGGTCCGACGAAGAATAAAGGCCTTTAAGCCACGACCTTCCCAGGATAGTGAATTTGCATTCGATACTACGGTAACAACACACGGAACACCGCTGAAACGGACATTTGGCAACAAGGGCTCCTCAACTGAATTGAGACTTTACAAGAGGTCAAGGAATGGATCCTCGGATGATGTCAGTCTTCAGCGCCCTAAGAGCATGTTTACAAAGTCAAGAAACACATCCTCGGAAAACATCAGCTATATTCAACGTCCTAAACATTTATCTATCATTACAACAAGTTCCAATGAAAAAATGCGAGCCATCAGCAACTCTTCAGTCCGTGATTTGATCTTATCGCCAATCAACACTTCTAGTACACAGATTGATGTTCAGATCTCAGAGGCCATATTCATCGAGTCCGCACCTGATTCACCAAGCTCCACGGCTGGTTCCATGGAGCGATGGGAACAATCATCTACCTTATCTCGGTTTTCGATGGGATCTTCGCAAACTGGAATTACGATACCACCATCCGGACCATCCGTGTGTTTGGTATCAGGTAGAACATCAAGAAAACAGACTACAGAGGAGGAGCGGAGCGCCCGAGCAACCCAATCGTTCCGCAGTCAATCTGTGCGCTCACTGCGCTCACTGCGCAGAGAACCAACTTCTGAGAGTCGCAAAGAAGATGACACTCAATCTTTGTATTCGTCTTCTTCCCCTGCGCCAGCATTTGACATCAATCATTTCTTGAGACCGAAAAAATGTCGCTCAATCAGCGAAATTTCACTTGATAATCCCAAGGAATATCACGCCGAGAGCTTGAAACGAAGCTTTAGCTCCACTTCTTCATTATCCAAATTTGCACCTGCCACATCTCGCCTTCCTACAGTTTTATCACCAGTTGAAACAGAGATGCCGCAAATTTTAATTAGCGACGAGAGTGGTCCGATGGAATCATCTGATCTTCTGGACATGGTTACACAAATTGTGGAGCCAGAGGATTTACCTCTTGCTATAACAGTTCCCATGATCCTGGAAGAGCCCATGAGGGCAGACTCCGGGTTTCCTAGCAGCGACGGGAAGAAGAGCGCCCATGGATTATTAAAAGAAGTTGCGGGAGTGGGTGAGGATGCTAAGAAACTTCCGCAGGGTACCCGAAAAACTACATTCATTAAGGATATCAAAATCACGGCTGTTAAGGATACCAAGGATGAATCAAAACCTGTGGAAGAGCGTGGAATCAAGAAAAATAAGCTATTCGGTAGATTGAAGGACAGGGTCAAGGGGCTGAAGAAAAAAGTCAGCGGCGCCATGAGGTCCGGCAAAGAAAATTAAACTTTTTTCGACAACGGGGAAATTTTTTGGGCCATAAGTTTAGATATTTTATGCATTTGGGGATTTGATTTGGATTTTTTTTTTTTTTTTTGGTTTATTTTTTTCTTACTATCCTTCCCATTGGTAAATATTTTGGGGTACATTATTATGGCGTTATTGGGCATTATTCATGGATGGGCGAAGGAGAAGCGCATGTTTTCAGAGGGTTCATTTGTTCAAAAAAAAGCAGGATTTTACGATTTTGACGACTAACTCCCGAGGACCAGATTGGAGTCTTTTGATTTTTTTTTTTTTTTTTCGTTCTCTCTACTCCACTTTCACAGATCTTGGAAGGCACGCTAAAAAAATATCAGCGATTGATGTTTTTTTTCATTTTTTTTTTTTTTTTTTTTTTTTTTTTTCCATCAGGTAGCCACGGTTTTGGATTGGATCAGGAAGATAGGAATCAGAATCAAACTATCAGGGCAGCTCAAGCTGAGAATTAGAAGCTCCCAAAAAAGATCTATTCCACGCGTGCACACTAGTGTTCCGGATATTTTTCCGAAACGCTTGTACTACATTCATGCGATGTCACTCGTGCTAGTAGCCATTATCGCTTCAGGGGTTTTCTGAGAGTCTGATCACTGACCATAGGATTTCGCATCGAAACTACTATTGTTTGCCTAGTTGACATTGAAGTCGTTCAGGAAAGTGTTAATCTTCTTCCCCCATCCATCCCCTTCTTTCTTGAAATTTTTTCCTCTGCTGCGTGCACGGATGGACCTAGCTAGTACTATATGGGGTTAAGCCGGCCTCATCATCAAAAAAAAAAAAACCCCCTGTCGAGTACTCGTAGCTTTATAGCGTTTCCGAACACGACCAATATTGCATGACATACAAAAAGGTGGATTTGGCGCTTTTTAGTATGTCATGCAATATTGGTCGTGTTCGGAAACGCTATAAAGCTACGAGTAGAGTAGGTACATACAGTACCGTACATATGTAGAGTCCTCTAACCCACAGTACCGTAGAGTACCATAGGTTGTTACGCACCCAACCCACCACCACCACCATGCAAAGAAAGTGGGCACGAGACCCAATACATACCGAAATGAAGATAGCCAGTAGTTCCTTTAGACCGAGTCTAGCCAAGTGCTCGGAACTCTGTTTAGCTTCGAACACCACCACACAGTGTTGTCTCACTCTACTGACCACGTTTATTGCCAAGAGAGCTCTTCTTCTCATTGGTGTCCGGGCTGTCGGTCTCTTTCTCCACGCAACACGGCTCTAACCCCCTTCGGATCCTTCAACAAGTAAGGAGTAGATACATTGTACATCTCTGTATGGAGTACTCTGTGTACTCTACTCTATCCACGGGATCAGCTTACTTGCATTGTTCATGTGTTCTAGTACGGAGTGCATACATAGGTATGAGAATACATCCGCGGCCGGATAATCTGGGGTTGGTTGGACGGTAGCGCATGTACCCAATAATTGTCCGGAGTCATGTATCATCAACACCGAAGAGCTCAAGTGGCCAAGTTGGTAAGGCGTCACACTCGTACGAAATGCGAAGATCGAGTGTTCGACTCACTTCTTGAGCATAATAATAGCTGAAACTGCAATGTGATGGCATCCCGTGAGCGGTTCTAGCTGTCTCCCTTTTCGTTGCCTTTTTTTTTTTCTCGATGATTTTTACGTGGGGTTTGTCGATGAGGTTGGGAATTGCACTAGGTTTAAGTAATAAATAAAGCGTCCTTGTATTCATTGGGTACTCTGTAGGATGGGATGGGTACATAAGATGTGTGTAATATTATGGTATATTGCTACATTGGACAGTTTCAGTTGCCCAAAGATATCAAGAGATATCAGATCAAACATCATCTGGGTCCACCTGGAACGCCAAATTATATTTAGCGGGTCAGATAAGCTCCTAGCCATAGATAAGCTAACTAGCTAAATGATCTACCGGCATCTCTTGTATTATCCGAGCCTATGAACCAGAGCTACAAATTCCAGATACATGCACCCTATATCCGATATAAACAGAGCCGGAAATACATTTATCCTAATATCTAGCGTAAGAGCTCAATGACCAATTCGCTGGATATAATCCTATCAGAGCCATATTCTAAGCGGGGGACAGCAAATGAAGTAATCAATCAATCAAAAGCGGGGGACAGCACGTAAAGAGCAACAATCGAGTGAGTGGCTGTGAAGAGCAACCAGGCTTCCGTTTCCTCTCATATGACTAACTCTAGTAATACAATAAAAAGAACTTTTGGCCATAACATCTGGTAAGTAGAATCGCAGTACGCGTGTGTTCCCCGCCCAATGGTTAATTTAAAGAGAGAAAAAGGCCATAAGGAAACGTAGATAGAGGGGAATAATAGCTAAGAGGTAAATGGCACATTGTAGCAAAGGAAAAATTTAAGGTATGGTAGTGTTACATAATAATAGCGCATAGTAATACACATCTAAGGAAACGAAACCAATTCTCGAGAGTCCAGCTGCGGATAGGTATCGAAAAGATGGCATATATCAGTCTTTCAACTGGGATATACAATTCCGTAAGTTCCCGATCTGTTTAGCTGTCGTATAGTGTTCCGTAGCTCCAGATAAGATATGAAAAAAAATTAAGTGAGTGAGTGAGTAGAAATATAACCGGAGATAGAGGTCAAAGTAAAGGTATTACATTACGACCCTCCTGGTAGTGGCGATATAACAAGAAAATTTATAAAATCCCAACAGAAAACTATGAAAAAAACTCCAAGAACGAAACTGTACTGCCCATATGCAAACATATACGATGAAACTCTACCATCATGAAGCTTTGGGGCTGGGAGAAGTGGTTGTAGCTGCAGCTGGCGCAGCAGCGGGTGCAGCAGGTGATGTATTGGTTATAGCCGGAATGGCCGGAATGGCCGGAATGGCTGGAACTGCAGAAGCATCTGGGGTGGACTTTTCTAAGTGCATTTGCAAAGCTTTGTCGGTAGATTTTGATTTAAACAAAGCATATGTTGATTTTCTCAGCTCATCTGTTGACCTTGATTTTCTCAAATCGGCGCGACGATCACGTTCGTTGGGATCTTTAAGGTTACCGGTTGACTTCTTGAAAGAAAGACGCACTTTGAACCATGTGAACAGTCGATTTTTGTTTGCTTTGCCTGCATTCGAGTAAAATTTATTTATATTAATATCCTGGGATCCAGCCGGGGTAAGTTGTCCTTGGGTCATTTCTCACCATCCTCATCTTCTTTCTCATTTTCGGATTTCTCGTCTACTTTGCTGGATCCTCCTTCCAATTTTCTTTGAGCCTCCTCAAATATTACCTTGCGCTCCTTTTCTGCGTCGGCGCTCTTATCATCTGCCTTCTCAATCGTAACGGTAGGTAAAGGTATTTCCTTCTGATGTTTTGTTAGTCAAGCTTCATGTATATCTTTTCTAGTGGAATTGATTGACCTACCTTCTCAACTTTGTTAACAATTGTTATTATAGCTCCTCCGGTCTCTTCAACCTTTTCCTCCTTCTTTTCTTTGATATCCTCTGCTGCTTTGCTAGGTTTCTCCGTAGCTTTCTCCTCCTTCTGTTCCTCGGCCACGCATTCTACCTCTGGCTTCTCGACTGCCTTCTCAGCTGCATTCTCGACTGGTTTCTCCACTGTATTCTCTATAGGCTTCTCATCTGCCTTCTCGATATCATTCTTTTCCTCTACGACGTCTTCATGGGTCTTCTTGATTTCTTCTTTGTCAATTTTAGTGACAGTTGTGGCAGTGGTGACGCCAAGTACAGCGGCTAGCATATCGTCATCTTCGTTCACTGCCTGATCAACTTTCTTTTCTTCTGCCCCTTCAGAACCTGGAGAGACGGCATCAGTATTTGAGACTTCGGATTTTACCGCCTCCTTCTTTCCCACAACCTGCTGCTGCTTGTCCTCCTTGACCTCATCCTTCTCATCACCTTCTATCTCAGCATGCTGCTTTTGACAGTCTGTCTTCTCATCGTTCTTTCTATCATCATCTTCCCTTTTCTCAACCACCTCCACCTCCTCAACCTCGCCTTGCTCGAGCACTTCGACTGCAACGGCAGTGGCAACAACTGGTTCCTCCTCGGCAGGGTCTATGGCCGCAACTGCGGTAGTCTTAACATTGGCTTCAACGATGGGGTGCTCCTCCTCCTCCTCGATATTCTCTTCTCTCTCAACCCTTTCGAGGGCTGCAGCGGTAGCTGCAGCGAGGACTGCGATCTCTAAGCTGTCTTCGATTTCCTCTTCGGGCTCCTCACTCTTTTCGGGAGTGATAGTAGTGACTGCTGGGGTTTCAGGTGTTGACTGTTCTTTTTTCTCTTCTGCTAATTCAATTTTATCGACTATAACTTCGGCTTTGTCTTCAGCTTTCTCTTCGATTTGCTCTTCGACCTTTGCTACAATGTTATCGTCGGCTTTGTATTCAGCCTTCTCTTCAGTCTCTTCAACCCTTGCTTCCACACCCTCTTCTGTTTTGCCTCCGATTTTTTCCTCGGTATTATCCTCAGTCTTATCATCAGCCTTCTCTTCACTACTATTTCCCAGTTTCTGTTCCTCCAATTCCTCGGGAGCGGCATGGGTCTCAGTAGTAGGAGCTTCAAAAATCACCTCCTCCTTGACATCCTTAGCCCCTATCACAGCAGCAATCGGAGTAACAGGTCTCTCACCCCCCTCCTTCTTACTAGTAACGCTCTTGATACTTCCTGTCTTCTTCAAATTCTTGACTGCGGCAGCCGCCGCTGTAGCAAGAGCAGCAGCCTGTACATTGCCAATGACGGGTATTGGCTCCTCGGGCACGATGTTGGGCGAAGAAGTGGTCATAGGTATCGCAGAAGACGGGGTTCCGGAGAGGTCGGTTACACGTTTAGCAGTTGGAGAGGCAGGGTCTTCAGTAGCCTTCTTCTTCTTCTTCTTGGGCTTGATCCCAAGGTTCTGCTTGAGCTCCCCGTACTCGTTCCATTCCTCGCAGTCCTCGTAGTTCTATAGCAACAGGATAAATGTAAGCAGGGTGTTTATAGGAATGCTACAGGGGTATATCGTAAATAAACAAATAAATAGAGAGCTTCTAGGGATAGCCCAGAACTCTCTCCATCAATGTGAAAATTATGCGGGGCTTGCATTAGCGGAACAGATAAAGATAAAACTCACCCCTAGAACCAGTCCATCTTTTACAATCCCGGGTAGTCTTTTGCCCCCACCTCGTCGACTCCATAGACTTCTTGCCTTATCGTCTGTCGCCAGATCTACGGCTTTGAAGGGGACTTTGTTGCTTTTTAGTAGATGCTCTAATCTGCTTGTCGCGGTGATGATGGTGGAACTTCCGGCAGTGAGCGATGTGAGGAGGTATATTGTCTCTCTGTCCTCTGACGAGAAGAGGACAGGATTTGTCGAGTCAGGGCCTGCGTCCATAGCTAATCACTGTTTACTGTTTACTTGGACCACTGAACTTAAGATAGGTGAAGTGGGATGTGTATATACTTGATACAGCAGCAATAGTAGTGGATGGATAGATGGTTTAAGGAGAGGAGATGGAGAAATAGGAGCAAGAACAGAGGAGAGAAAAGAAACAGGAAGGAGAAGAAGCAAAATAACGGGGAAACTTTCACACAGGGGAGCTCTGGGGAAGCTTTAGGGGAAATTGTCTCAGGTGGTGGGGCACCGACCCCCCCTCAGCTTCCCTGTTCTGCATGGGCATAGAGCATACTTTAGAACGCTCGCTCTTGCCCTGCCAAGGCGGGGTTGCCGCTTCAACCATCAAGTTTGGAGCTCGAAGCTCGAAATAGTATCTCACATTCGTGTCTGAATGCTCTACAGAATCGCTAGATCTGGGCGAGAATTCCTTCCCTCTTACCTACATCACAAGTTTGCCAGATGGTGGTTGTGGGTGGTGATCCCAACATTGACACTGCTTGTTACTCTGAGAGTCGGAGCTTGAAGCCAACTTCCACCCTCCCTGGTCCTAGTGCTCATCTTACAGAGATTACGCTTTGTAGAACATCCGAACCCCTGTTTTGGATTGCGAAGAACGAACGAAAAGGAAGGTTTCCGGGTTACTAACTCCGGTCTTGTGGAATCTCTGGGAATAGTTTGACTGTTAATTACCGGCGGTAGTGGTGAGGTTTCTAACCGTAGTTAAGAGCGAAAGTGAAAGCACCCGAACCGAGGTGAAGGTGCGATATTTACTTAGGAAGCTATCAGATAAAATTGAAGCACATTTATACGGCTTTTAGATGAACGATACCAATGCGCATTGCTTATTCCTAATGTCGCTACTAAAATAAATGGAGTGGCATCTGCGAGTAGAAAGGGATAAGCTTTGCCTTCCCGTTAGGCTGCTTTTCTGCTTGATAGCATTGTTGAGGTTGATGAGGCTGATGGAATTTGTCGGGGTATGTAAATACAATCATTGACCACTACAAACAGAAGCCTATTGGGATCGATCTCAATACTCTAAATCATACTCATAAATAAAACTGTCGTCGGCTTCCACTATCCACCCCGAGATAATTAAAGCTAAGAGAACTTCCATACACTCCTGAATAGAAGATCCCTTTTAAAAAGGTATAGTGTGTATGTGCACGAAACTAACGGAATATTCCAGTTCATCCTCCAAATAAACTCACCCCGCCTGCTCCTGCGGGTCATTTGATCTCACTCGACCCAGCAAGCTCTAACAGCGGGATCCTGCACCCTGTATTTTCTTTTGACGTGAAACCCTGAAAATGATGTTGGTTATTAGGATTGGTTTTAGGGCGAGACCCAATAACGGTAGTACGATATAGTATGGTGTCATTTTACTGGTACATAGAACATAGTAGTACATGTAGGTATGCATGCACTTCTGAGAGCTACATAGGTAGGAATTTCTCAATGTTTCTACAAGAGCGGAAATCAACGTTATCACTATTCATTTTCTTTAAGACTTTCAAGGGTCCGAAATATCGATATCTTTTTCTTATTTCTTTTCTTTTTCTCTTCTCAAACCGAGCCCTGCTAATATCGTTTGAGTAGAATTGATTGGGGTGCTAAGCAGCGATTTAACCACGGTATTTGGAGAGATTTCTGCTTTTGTGGGCCTGGTTATGCTATGGTTCGCGACTATGCAAACCCTGATATCCGCAGTGTTGTATATTCTTCACTTTAACTGGAAGTTTGTAGACGAAGATAATGGTGTGAGATTAAAGGCCGCTGGTTATTTCGAGTTGATTATGGGTGCAAGGTGTTGATAAGTGAGTGGCTGGAATAGTAGACGGGTGCCTGCAGTACTCATGATTTCTCCTGGGGCCGTCAGAATGTTTCCCGTTTGTTTGAGCGCTACTCTATCTATGCTGGTGACTGGTGATGCATGGTTGGGGAGGCAGTAGGTAACTAAACGTGAATAAGCATTGGACCCTGATTGTTGTTGGTGATGGTCGTGGTGATTTTTGACCTTAGCAGCTGAAAGAGAGCGGGGCAGTGGCGGGGAGGGGAAGGGGGGCGGGACGGGTGGAATTGTACGATTGGGTGTCCCCTTTCCCTGGATATCCCCTGTGGGTTACGTTCTCAAGTTGACCTTCAGTGGACCATGGACAGGACGCACCTTCTCTCAGGCTGAGCCACTTTCCCCTGCGAGTCTTCGCCCTCATAGCAACAACCCGTGCGCGACCTCGGATCAGTCAATCAGATTTCTAGTCGGCTTACTAACGGGCCTCGGCCAACACACCCGCTCTGCAACCACCCCCCAACTAGCCAGCCAGTCAAGCAGACAGAAACACCGAACAGCGCACGGTGATGTACAGCTCGTGGCAACACTCCTCCTCCTCCTCCTCCTACTCCTCCTACTCCTCCTCTTTCTCTACATAGTTTCTTCTTCCCCCCGCGTTACCACCTACCCCGCTACATTCCACCCCTCTTCATTAAACCACCTTCCCCGGATTGCACATTCTACGAAGCTCTCTCAAGATATGTCTTTCCTCGGTGGGGCAGAATGCTCTACTGGACGCAACCCCCTAGCTCAGTTCACGAAACATGTCAGCGAGGACAAATCTCTCCAGCGAGATCGCCCAGCTGATGGCCGGGCGGCTCCTGGAATGGGTGGTATGAGGACTATGGGAGGTGAGATAGCTGGGGCCGACAAGCAGGTTCGTTTTCGATTTGTCAGCTTCGTGATTTTTTCAAAAAACATCAATTATTGGATGGAAACACCCACGAGTATGGTAAGGCATGCTAATAATGATGGTCTTTTTAGATGATGGATGAATTCTACAACCAGCAACAGAGCGGTTCTCCGTTCGCTTTTGACTCTATGCGACAGGAAATCCAGAACCTCCAGCATGCTCCCCAGGCTGCTGGTCAACCGTGGGCGGCTGAGTTCGGTCCACAGGGGATGATGCCGCAGGATCAAGCTTTGATGGAGGCTGCCTTTCGTCAGAAGTCTCCTGAATTTAATCCTGCCGAGTTCGCTCATTTCCAGTCGCAGTCGCCGCAAGGAGATATCCGCATGGCTTCCCCGGCACCGATGCAGGCACAACCACAAACGTACTATCGCCCACAGACTTTCCAGGGCTACAGTCGCTTTAACAATGGTATGCCATTTACCGGCTATGTACAGCACACATCCCCGGCTCCCCAGATGCACCACCAACAAGATCTGAAAGGGAAGGGTAAGCAGGTTGTGGAGCTTACGGATGAAAACTGGGAGGCCCAGTTCCAAGAGATGGAAAACGTAAACAAGACGTTGGATACGGACGAGCAGGCAAATAAAGACATTGATGCGGAATTGAATTCGCAAACCGAGACAATGTTTGGCGATTTTCAGTCAGTATGGGAGGGTATCCAGGCAGAGGGCGGCGCACCTGTAGATTCTGGCTTGGAATGGGCCGAGTTTGATGCTAATACTCCATGGTCTCCGGAGGCTTCGGCGACAAATTCCATGCCCCGGCTGGGAGAATACCTCTTTGAACCTGATAACCCGTACTTGACTCACGAGGACCCCTTCGCGGAGGGTAAGAGGCTGATGGAAGCCGGAGGCAACCTATCACTAGCAGCCCTTGCTTTCGAGGCCGCAGTACAAAAGGATCCCAAGCATAAGGAGGCTTGGACTGAGCTCGGTGGTTGTCAAGCTGCAAACGAGAAGGAGACTCCTGCGATTCGTGCGTTGGAAGCTGCATTGAAGCTCGATGATAGCAATCTTGGTGCTCTTATGGGCTTGGCAGTTTCATACACGAATGAAGGATACGACACTACGGCTTACTCCACCCTTGAACGTTGGCTTGCCACTAAATATCCCAAAATCGCAGAACAAGCTCCTCCAGCACCCGATTCGACTCTCGATAGACAAGCTATCCACGACCGTGTCACGGACCTATTTATCCAGGCAGCCCAGCTTTCACCAGAGGGCACCGCAATGGACTCTGATGTCCAAGTTGGTCTCGGGGTTTTGTTTTACGGCGCTGAGGAATATGACAAAGCCGTTGACTGCTTCTCTGCCGCACTAACTTCCACCTCTACCGGCTCGTCGTCCCCCGAGCATCTCCTTTGGAACAGGCTCGGTGCCACCCTGGCAAATAGTGGACGTTCGGAGGAGGCCATCAATGCATACGAGCGTGCCCTGACCATCAACCCTAATTTTGTTCGTGCCCGTTATAATCTCGGTGTTTCCTGTATAAACATTGGCTGCTACGAACAAGCCGCTGAGCATCTGCTAGGCGCGCTGGCAATGCACAAGGTCGCCGAGGAGAAAGCAAGACAAGACGCCGGAAGCATTGGGTTAGACCCCGGAAGGATTGTGCAGAACCAGAGCACAAACCTATTTGATACCCTTAGGAGAGTATTTAGCCAGATGGGAAGGAGAGACCTGGCGGATTTGGTGACGAACGGAATGGACATTGATGTGTTCAGGTATGATGATTCTACAAGATCGCGTGATGGGGGAGGAAGAGAGCTAACGTGGTGTGTTGCTATAGGAAGGATTTCGACTTCTGAGTGGTTGTTCGGGAAGAAATTGGGCCCGAAAGAGATGTTGGACTTGGACGTCCTCGAGAACAGGTGGGCTTAGCGGATAGGTGCCGTCTATTTTACTAGGCATACTTGATAACTGATAAATTGAGATTTTTTTCTTTTTCTCTTCCAGTTTTTATTCTTTATATCATGCATTATATTTTGGTGGGCTGTGGGCTGTGGGAGAGGACTGGCTACATTCTTATTCTTTTTTTATTTCTCCTTCCATCTTAAGCTATATCATAAACCGCTTTTCTTGGGCTTTTGGTGCGATCTCATGCGACCATGATCTGTCTTGTCTGAAATATAAAAGTGCGCATTCATGAAGTATATGAATCTCATTTCTACCTCCGAGAAATACCGGGAGACTAATCGATCGATCGTGGCATGTATGTACCTTGGTGACGATCTGCGGTAGCTTGGTGTTCAATCTTTGTCAGTGCCGTAGCGGTACACAGTACACAATAAGTATGCCAGATGAAATGGATGGGCCATGTTGTAGATGGCTGTCGCTTTTTCCTTATATTCGCCTCTCTCGTGGTGGTTACATGCTAGAGGCCAGGGGCCTTCGCTCGCAGAGTTCATGATTAACGACCAATAATCTCAAAAGTGACATCAGAATGTTCCCGCGGGGGGGGGGGGGGGGGGGGGAATCGACATACGGAAAGGTATGGTTCTCTGTGGAAAACAGCCGGTTTCTTACAGTCGCAAAAGGTGCCACACCGAACCCCGCGCCCCCCCCCCCCCCCCAATTCCGTGGAGACGTTTAGTGGCTGGACGACATCCCCAAAGTGGGATTGGGGCCATGGATTATCACTCGGAAATTAGTGTTGTCATGGCGGTTTTACGTAAAATGGGAAGGATTTTTTGATTGGGTGGTTTACGGATCTAGTTAGTGGGATCTGGTTAGTGGGATGGTGGAGGATAGGCTAGGTGTTGGGAAGGGGAAATTCTCATATGAGATTGAGATATGATACTAGATGGGAGGTACCGGGGCTAATTTTTCGAAACTTGGGGAAGAGATTATCTCTTTGAACTAATATGTAACTATGATATATTTTTTCCGCGATCAGGAAGCAATTTGGGTTGGGAGGTTATAAACCTGCGAGTGACTTTTCATGAAGATGTAATAATAGTTAATGAATCGATTTTCATTAATAAAAACAAAAACGATTCCTACAGAAAACCCCAACCGCACACACACACACACACACACACACACACACACGCGCGCGCGCGCATCAAGTCCCCGCACTACTCCACGAATATGCCTTCCCCTTGCCCTTCCTCATGTCCATCATGTACCTCTCGGCCTCCTCCAGCCCATTATCACCCGCATACATAAACACCCACATGAACCGATTCAGCAGATGGCATTTCTCCTTCATGCACTTTTCCGCCACCTCCGCGTCGACCCCACCCTTCCCCCACTGCTCCACCAGTGCCCTCACGAAATGCGCCCTCAGCCGCTCGTTCTCCCCTTGGTGCTCCGGGTACGATTCGCTGTCGTGAAGGAAGAGCGGATACTCGTAGAGGTTGTACAGCGGGCCCACATACGCATCTTCCCAATCGATGACTCCCGACAACTTCGGCGCCGACCTGGGAGACGCCCCCGGCACGAACAGCATGTTCGGCGATGTGAGGTTCCCATGGATGAGGCGGAACGGTGCGGCGATGTGCGATTCGTTAGCGTGCCGCGAGAGGTAATCCTCGAGGCGGTGTCGGATGTGGCGGAACAGGAACTGGAGGATAGAGTCGGCGCCGATCTCGGCCTCGGGCGGCATGTACGACGTCAAATATGCCAACGTGGTGTCGAAGGGGCCACAGCTCTTCGATTCGTAGCATGTGTCGAGGAGGGGGCCGACAGTGATGCCGCCCCCGTTTGTGTCGGGGGATGAGACAAGGCTTCCAATCTGCTGGAATTGGAGCATGGAGAGCTGTGCGAGGATGCCGGTGACCTGTGTGACAATTGACTGTTTATGGGCGAAGGTTGTTGCGGGGTCGTGCCAGACATCGTGCAAGTTCCGCCCGGGAAGGTGCTCGAGCAGCATGTAGGGAGCACCAACCTTGTTTGCTGGGTCCTGGTCCGAGTGGTAAATTTTGGGGATTGGGATTACGGTTTTTGCGGCGACGTGGCGCATCGTTGTTAGCTCGCTTTTGAGCATGGCGAGCGTCTTGTCGGTGTCGTGTCGGGGGAAGCGGGCTATGCAGCTCCATTCGGTTGGGGGTGGGCCCTTTCCAGGTGCGGAGGGGGCCTCAAAGAAGAGGGTGTAAAGCTCGTGGTTGGTTCCGCCGGGAATCTTTACGATGCGGGTCCATCGCTTGGAGAGGATGGCAGATGCCTGCTTTAATAGCTCGGTGAGGTTGAGGGCGGGGTTTCTAGGTTTCTCCAAGCCATTGCGAGGCGGGCTAGGTCTTGAAGAGCTTGTTGTGTTAGTGTTATCATTAGGCATGTTGGATTGCCAGAGTCAATGATTATATCAACCGGAAAGTTTGGACTCCCAAAATGCCTTGAAATATAGGCGAACAACAGATTTGAAGAGCTAAAGGTGCTGAAAGATACCAAGTGGGTAGACTAGACTTTATATCCAAATATGTGGTTTTGCATGAGTCTGAGGATTTCTTTGTTGCACTGTTTAACAAGACGCCTCCTGTTCTTTGATAACACGCAAAACGGATCTTGGCTTTCCGTGCTGAGTACGGAAACCATCCAGGAGGATATCCCAACAGCTGAAGACATCATATCCATAATAGAGTTCTGGGTTGACCTCCATACTTGTGCCTACTGATATATCTCGGAAAGTTAAGGAGTCCAACCTTAAAAGCCAAAAGCCGCAAAACCGAGCCGATCAAGTTCTGTACACAGTTTATGCTTACTTATAGGTGCAAAAATATTACCGCGCAGATAAACATATAGAATAATACCTACCTACTGACTGCCAAAAACATATGGCCCTTTAGTACCACCAACTGGCTACCCCGGTAGGCAATACGGTCCTTGTTTTGTCAACAAGTAGCTGGTGCCAAGCAACACAGCTAACCCGTCTGGAACCAAACCACAATTCCACGAAAGAAGCGTTTCCACCACTCTTCTCCGGGTCACCACCAAGCACTCGTTTGAGTACTGCTGCACGTGACGGTGTGTAATAATCCAAACGCTAGGCAAATAATTATCGGAAATATCATAACGCTTGACATTCCCCTCTCCGTCCCGTAGCTACTAGTAGACTGCCTCCTTAATCAAGGCGACCAACAGACACCAATGCCATGTGACGAGGTTATCAGCAGACCGCCAAATCATGTTCTTGGCCCATCATAATCATATCCCCGCGCAGGTATGGTGACCTTAACTGTGACTATGCATGGATCCCGGTCACTAGAACGAGGCCATGGCTCCCCAAGCTCACGCTGGTTGATCGCCGGTCGCTGGGGCTTTATGTAGGTGTGCGCCCTCAGTAATGAAATGAAGCGGATGGCTAGTGTTCCATCAGGCGCGATCATTCGCATCCTGAGTTTCATCCGATGAATCTGTCAGTATTCAAAGTAAAGCTTTGTGAGGGGAGGTCGAGGGACGATAGACGATAGACGAAACGGCCCACTGCAGACAACTGTCCACACCGTCGAGCCTGCTGCCTGCTGCCATCACCAAAAGCGGAAGACTTCTAGACGCCGCGCACCCTGCCAAGCCCCACGACCGATCCTGGCTGGCAATCGATCTGATTTGCACACAAGCCTTTTTTTTTCTTCTCCTTTCCTTTGACCACCCGTGCGTGCCCCGCCATGTGAAAGCGGGGTGCAAAAAAAAGACAAGCGGGGTATTCGACCCCAGATTTTCGTTCCCGGCGCTAGATGTGCCACTTTACTTTTCTTTTGGCTTACTCTTGACGCTTGACGCTTGGTGATTCTTGGTGCTTGGTGTGATGTGTGTATGGAGCTACGTGGATAGGACAGCAAGACCGGAGGGGGAGAACTTATGTAGGTGCTCGACTTGATTATAGCTAGTGATATGTACATTATGGGTATCTAAGTGCGGGGAAGAGGTGTAAGAAAAAAACCTAAAAACTAAACTCCATAGCCCTTATGTGTAGGGGATAACATTGATCTCTCTAAGTTGGGTATATTTTTTTTCGCTCGCAGCAATACTGATATGAAAGGAGAAAAAGGGGAAACAAAAAAAGGGGGGAAATGCACATGAAGGGTATTGTATTTTTTTTGATGATTTGTTTGTTCGAATTTGCACTTGTAATCTCGTAGGTACTACTCTTCTCCCTCCCGATCACTCCTCATCCTTCTCTTCCATCTCAGCCATTTGTGAAAGAAACGGAAACATGAAAAACAGCAACAGGAAGATAATGATGAATGGTTGATCGGGAGAGAGAGAGAGAAAGAGACCAGACAGAAACAGGCAAGGAATCAAGAAGGAGAAGGAGACGGCAAGAAGGTAAAAAGAACCAGCAGAAACGACTCGCAAGAAAAGAGTTTTAAAAAAGCCAGCAAATCCGGGAGAGAGAAAAAGAAAATCGTCATCATCCTGCAACGACCAACATCTAACTAACTTTCCCCCTTCTTCCCCGGTTTCCCTACTAAAAACATATCCCCTCTATAAGACCCTTTTCCATCTCCCTATTTCGGCCCTGTCTCTTTCTCTCTCTTGTAGTCCTTTTTTTATCTTCCCACAACGCCACCGCGCTGTGAGACGCCATCAAAGAGCCTCATACGCCCCTTCATAACGCCCCCGTCGCCAGAGATCTTCTCGCCAAACTCGGCGCCAACGCCCAAGATCCCTCCGGTCTGCATCTGCTGCGGAACCACCATGGGTCGCCGTTGCTGCTCTTCAACGAGTTTTTCGAGAGGCGCGCCGAGAACGTGGTACTTCTGCCACTCGATTGTTGGGCAGCGGTAGATCTCTTGCGGCTTTGGCAAGTCCTTTGTTGCTGCAAAGGCGGCGCGCTTTCCGTTGCGCTTCCTGGTCGCTGGTGTGGTACCGGGATTAGCAGATTTTGCGGATTTACTAGTGGACTCCTCGTCTGAAGACGAGGATGAGGATGTGGGGTGCCCAGCGGCGGCGAGCTCCTGGATATACTCGATGAATTCGACGGGCTTGTCGAGCGCCTGCAGACGCAGCTCTTCGAGGGTCTGAATATCATTGCGCGCGCGCTCGCGCTGTAGCATCAGCAGGCGGAGAGTGCTTCTGAGCGCAATGGAGTCTGTGTTTGTCGATGTTGCCGCAGCAGATGTAGACGCGGACGCAGACGTGGATGTGGATGACGCAATAGGGGGAGTCGCCACAGGCGTTGTGGTCTGCGCTGTGGCTCTAGTTGGTGTGGCGCCTGCGCCGGCGATATCAACATGATTGGAGGGGGCGCGTGAAGGCGCAAGTGGTGCGTCGATAGGAGCCATGGGCGGCGATGGTGGAGGTCTTGGGGTCTGGGCTGGAGTGGACAGCGGAGAGTATGCGGGAGATGGGTCTAGATCATCGGCATTGCTGGGGGGTGTGTGTGTCTGGAGGGCGGGGGAGGGGGCGCGGGGGATGGAGGATGCATTGGTAGGGCTGGGGTTTGGAAGGCCCCTAGAAGGAGTGAGGACGTTGCTGGAACCGCGGTAGCAGTGGTGTTAGATTGTTGTTGTGGTTTTGGTTGTTGTTGTAGAGAGCTACATGGGCTAGGAGTAGTAGTAGAAGGATGACCCGGTGTAGTGGTAGCGGGGATGGTTGAGGTGGTGGAGTGTGAAGGCGGCATGGAGGGGTTTAGAAAAGTGCTTTTTGGGGAGGACAGCAGTGGTTGATAGTTGTTACTATGCGGCAGTGGTGTGGTTGTGGGGCCAGGTAGAGGGTTGTGGTAGGTGGTAGTGGTAGATGGTTGTATTGGTAGAGGTGGGGACGGGCAGACTACGACCAGACAGGGTGACAGCGGAGGCGGAGGGAAGACAGCCGAAAGACAACCGAAAAGAAAACTTTAAAAAAAAGTCAAGCAGGTTGCTGTATGTTGTGGAGGGGTTAAGGGGAAGACAGACGGAGGAGGAGGGGGTTCTTGTGGGGGGGGGGGGGAGGTTGTGATTGTGGTGGCAGTGGATGTGGTTACTATGCAGGTTAGGGGGGTCCGTTGTGGAGGCGTTAACTTTGGTTGCAACTTGCTTCAACCACTGCCAGGAGGAAGGGGGGCCTGCAAATGTGTTGAGCTGTCGTTCCCTCTTGGAATAAGGCTAGGTATGACGCGAGGCAACTGCAAGATACATGTATTTCCTTGGCACGTGTCCCGAGCGTTTTTTCTTCCCTTTCCCGCAACAGCTTGTTATGTGGTTGCGACAAGGGTTCGATTCGTGGTTCTGTCGATCGTCAAAAATTCTTTTTCGACAAACGAAGCTAGCTATGTATGCACGGTCAGGTAGATAGAAGTACAGATACACGAGGTAGAGTGGGATGGGACGAGCTGTCACGTAATAGGTAGGGAGAGAGAAGTGAGAGGAAGGGAAGGAAGAATAGAAGCACATATTTGATTCTTCGATCGCTACATGTAATTTCGGCATCTCTCTTCCCTCCCCCGCCCCTTTCCATTTACTCTGCCCTTCGCCTCTCTTCGGGAGGTGGGAGACGTGAAATATGGAAGGTGTGTGGAAGGGAAGGGAGGATGGATTGGCTGATAACGCAGGTGTGAGTGGGAAAAACAAAAACAAAGTGTTTGTCTGTTTGGCTTACATCACCATTTATCATTCGGAGGACGTTCTCAGATATCTAGCCAATGGGTATATATCATCATGACGATGCTGCTTCCCCCCCAACCCTCTGCTTTGTTTCACCGAATAAGAGGACTCATACTACAATTTGTTAATAGCACCCAATGAACAGACCCTTTCTCTCCTCCGCGGCCGAGGCAAGACTGTTTGATCGGTACATATGGACTCAAATCTCTACTCTGGTGCGCGCACCTCAAAGTGCAGTACAGAGACCACTCGATTGCTGTAAAACATCCCTGTCACGAGATGCAGCCCATTCTAACGCGATGAGGAATATCCTATTGCTCAACCCCATCCCTGCACCCCACGCGTTAGCACTTCGTGATGTTTTCCGCTTTCGATCTCGCTGCTGACCTTCTGGCCTGGCATTGGCATTTTCAACAGGCTGGTTTGAGAGGACATTTTGCATTCTTGGTCTTCCCTATCTGGGTTGCTTGTTTTTCTGTTTTCTTTTTATCTGCATCGGAGCTGGAGATGGTAGATGAGTACAACGGGCGATGATAACCACCAGATTATGATCATTGAACTGCTACTGTTACTGCTACAAACACTCATAAAACGGTTTGACTCATCCTGCTCTTATTCTTCAGCATCACCTGGAGTATCGCACCGATCGAGCGATAACATTACCACTCTACATATATATCCAGAACCCAACTTTCCTTTCTATCGTTTCACCGCACACATTCGCACCACACACACACACCCCAACTGCCCTACCTTGTTTTTGTTTTTCGCTTTTCGCTTTTTTTTGTTTCGCACGGGTTCCTGGTCCCTGGGGCACTGCTTTACCGGAAGCTTGCATCATATCTGCCGTGTTGGTTTTTCTGCTAAAGTTGGTATGGGCTCCTCTTTAGTACAAGCACCATCATAGAGCTGCTGCCCCCGTTCCTTCTCCCCCCCCCCCCCCCCTCTCCCCTTCCTTCCTTCTTAACCCCGCCCTCTGCCCTGCCAATACCATGCCCTGCCTCTTTTACAAATCAATCACACAACTGCTGAATTAGTTACGCGACAATGCAGGGGGAAACGAATAGGAACCCGGATCCGTCCGCACGCCCTTTCCCTTCTCCTCATCTCCTGGTTGTCTGAGAAACCACTTTACGCGCGGACACGTGAATTGATTATCGATTTTCGCGTGTGGTGGTGGTGAGCGGTGGTTGATAAAAAGTTTTTTAAGTTTTATGTGCTGCGTGCGTTTTGAGGCCCCACTCGTTCTCACTTGGATTAGCGAGTGTGTATGCTCTACATATAGCAGAGCACAGACTTGACTGAGGAAGCTTGAGTGTGCACGTCTCTTTTCGATCTTAAGTCTCACTCCGAGCCTCGCTTGTATATCTGTCTACTTACTTATCTGTCTCTCCCTCCCCCTCCACACCTCCCAACTCACCCCTCCTCCTCCACCCCCCCCTCCTCCCCCTTGCCAAATCTCAACGACGGCCGGCAGGTCTTCATTCTCACTAGATACGAGCTCCTCCTCCACACCCCCGCTATAGCGGAGAATAATTGCACGCGTTAGCTCCGGACCCTGCTGGTATACTTGGCAACAACTTCGCTGCTCCTTCCGCGGCTGCCTAGTTATTGAGTTAGCTTCTTCGTGGGAAGTAGAAAAGTACTCGCCCACCCACACACGCACACGCGTATTTTTTCCCTTCCACTTCCTCCCTCCCGCCCGTGTGCTGGTTACTTATTGTGCCTTGTTGATTCCTAGACTCGAGCCTGGACGTGTATGTGTAGAAAAAAGGAGGATCCTCAGCATTCACCACCAAGGCAGAAGAAGAAGCTTTGAGTTGTGAACGATCTTTTTTCTCTCTCTCTTTCTTTCCCTCCGAATTTCTCGACGTTACTCTGCGCAACGCAATCGTTCTACGGGCTTCTCGGCACGCTCCAAATCTTTATCTCCCCATGTTTACGAGTTAGACGGTGCCTTTCTTTTTGGTTCTGCGTTTTGGAATTCAGGCATTGAGCTTGTAGGGTGCGGTGTTGGTGGTCGTAAGTTCATATTTACTTAACCTCACTCACTAGCTTACCACTACGCACGATAGACGATACACTACATACACGTCTTATACATACATACTACGAAACAATCTACATACCAAGGGGGGACGGCTACACTCCCAATTCCTCTCCATACATCCTTCTGCCTAGCCATCGCCCACGCACAGCCTACCTTGATACCATCGCTACCGCCTGATTATCGATTGTCGCCCCTCGTCCAGGTTATAAGCACAGTACCTCCCCAATAATCTACGTACCTATCACAGAACTGTACCCTACCAATATCAGCATGGAGGAGGAGGAAGCGACACAACAAGCAACCCAGCCCCTCCCCGGCCACGAGGGTGAGCCACCATCGAACGCAACTGATTACACTGGCGTTTTATGTCTCCTCCATCCGGCGTCTACCCAGGCCTGTGCGGCTGTGGAACATCTATCACGCCAGCAACCCACACACGTATTGAAAGTCCCAGGTGAGTTAAAGAAACAAAGTGACAGCAGCGACACAGCAATACCAGAAGCGAACGGAGCGGACGAGGACGAGCCGGCTACGCAGCTAGCAACGCCCGGCCAGGTACAGAGTGATGTGGGACTAGATATTGCGCTACGGTTATCGCCGGGACCTAAGGATCCGATGTTGGGATTTGTGTTTGGTAGAAATCCACATAGATGCGATATCGTGATTGGGGAGACGCAAATGTCACGGAGGATATCGAACACCCATTTCCGCATCTTTCAGAACCCGAAGGGCGTGCTAATGCTGGAGGATTTCTCGATGAATGGGACGTGGGTGGATGGGGTTAAGCTAGGCGGAAAGAATCCCCCTGACGGAGGGCATGGGAACGGCAACACACATGCATTATTTGCTGGGAGTGTAATATATATGGCGCCAGGGGAAGAAATCATGAGATTTCTAGTTAAGATTCCGAGTCAATCTGGGAGCCGCATTTGTTCTACGGGGGGAACGCCAGGCATCTCATTTGGTATTGATCCCGGCCCAGCTCCTTTGCCAACTACGCCGAGACTGCCTCATCTTCGTGGCAATAAAAAGTATCCACCGTCACCGGGCAACAACAAAAACCTCGCGGCCATTCGACGTGGGGCACCACCACTGCAAGATAACGAGAAGCATAGCTCAATAGCCATCACAACCGATCCTGGATGGGATGGAGGTGATACATACAAGATTATGGAAATCATTGGCGCCGGAGCGTTTGCAACTGTAAAGAGGGCTGTCATCAAGAAGACTGGTGAAGTTTTCGCGGTCAAGATGATTCAGAAACGAGCTTTTGCAAACCAGGCCAACGGTGGGAAAACTTCCGGTATGAGGAAAGAAGTAGAGATCTTGCAGAAGTTGAACCACGTGAGCATTCATGCTGTTAAGATTATGTAGCGTCAATGCTGATTGTTTACTAGCCTAATATTGTCAGCTGCTCCGCTTGTTTTGAGGATGCAGCGCACATCTATATCGTCATGGAGTATGTAGGAGGGGGTGATCTTAACCAGTATCTCAAGAGGAATGAGTACATGCCGGAAGATATGGTCCAGGAGGTTTCACGCCAAGTCCTGAATGGTATCAAGTACGTTCACTCGATGCGTATTTCACACCGAGATCTTAAGCCAGACAACATCCTCATAGCCTCTGAAGAGCCATTGATGGTCAAGATTTCCGATTTCGGTCTTGCCAAAATGATTCAAAGTGAGGAAACATTCTTGAAAACCTTCTGTGGTACAATGCTCTACCTTGCGCCAGAGGTCTACCCGGGCTATGCAACAGCAATGGTGGTCGGCGGGGGCAGTTTCAAACGTAAACGAAATCCTAGGGAAGTCGCCGGGCGCGAAGATGCTCTCGGCGCAAAAGTCAGAAGACGATACAGCGAGGCTGTTGATATGTGGAGTCTTGGCTGCGTCATACATATGCTACTAACCGGAAAACCAGCATTTGAAGGCAAGAACCAGGACGACATGCTGAAAACTATTTTGAAAGGCTTTAGGAATACCGCACATCTCGATAGGGTTCTGGGTCGGGGATGCGATGTCGTCAAAGATTTTCTGGGGAGGTTACTGCAGGTCGATCCCATTAACCGAATGATGGAGACAGAGGCCTTGGATCATGAGTGGCTAAAGATGGGGAGCGAACGCTCATCATCCAGCATGGAGGAGGATCAAGAAGATGAAATATGCCACGAAGGTGATAGGTACCACATGGTGGAGAAACAGCGTGAGGAATGGACCAAAATACCATCATCAATTCCAGGTAAATGGGTGGACTCTGTGGATGTAGATGAGGATGCATCTGACGGAAAGAGTCCTCCCAAACTGGAAGACGATGCCCTCTCTGGTGCTGTTCGAAAAATGAGCTTTCAAGCAATGCACTCTCTGAGAAAGGACCAGGTGGATGATTCAATCGGTGGTTCTTTCCTCTCTGTAGATAATGCCGATGCCGAGTCTCAGGTTGGTAGTAGGATGTTTCACCCTCCCCCAGATATTTCTATCAGGGGATGCTCTAGTGAATCACCCGACGATAATGCTTCGATGTATTTGACCGCCTCCGTGGGACTTCCAGATAACAAAGGCTCGACATCCGAAGAGGCACCTGCGGTGTATGACAGGCAGGCCGAGTTTGCTAGCCAAGCGGTACCAGGATCACAAGTTCGCGCCGTGGAAGATTCCGTTGCCGGTGCCGCAGCTTTGGTAGATAAGCTGAGAGTATATTCACCTGCCCTAGGAGAGCCAAGTCGAGGACCTAATGTACCGCAGCAGCAGCAGCCAAACGGGCAAAACCAGGTTCCAGCGAAAAGTCCCGCCGCAGAGGGTTCCAACTTCTCGTCCTTCGATGACCCAGCCGTAGTCTATTCTACGCCATATTCGTTATTGAGGGCTCCTGAGAGTTCCCAGGTACCACCACCATCTCAGAATAATGAAAACCATCTTCCATTATCCCAGCCATGTAACCTTCCGCTATCCCAACGAGATTACCCGCTATCTCAGCCAAACCCTCAATTCTCACCGCTAAATCACCCATTCTCCCAGCAAAACTTCCCGTTATCCCAGCCCAACCTCCCGCTGTCCCAGCCATGGAATGTCCAGTTGGAGCCAAGGAACTTCATCAAGCCTAAAATGTCGTGGGGAAAACTTGTGCCCATTGAAGGATCAGTCCCCTACAAACCCATATTCCTGAACCGACAGATAATCCGTATCGGCCGCTCCTCAAGTTGCACCCACACTCACCCAGACCCGCGGATCTCCAAGATACACCTCGGACTGATGCTGGCCATACCGGGCTTGTCCTGCCAGCCACCCGATGATAACAGCTGGCGGCCGCAGACACACATGAATGCTTGGATCAAGGTCTGGGGAACTAACGGATGCCGCCTCAACGGCAGGAAGAAGAGGACGAACGGTATCGCAAGGGTGTATAATGGGGATGTAATACACCTCTACTGGGATTCGAGTAATAAAAACGATTTCCTCGCCTTTCGGTGCGAGTTTACAATCGGCAGCCACACGAGGTATGAGCAAGAGATAAGCGACGAAGACACGGGCGTCAGAGAGAAGGCGGCGGAGAATGCGGAACGCGGGAATAATATGCATGCCAGCATGGCTACTACTTTGCCGATTGAGAGCTCATTTGAGGCGTCCCTGAAGCGGTCCAGCGAGGGATCCAGCGAGGGGTCTAGTGAGGGATCTAGCGAGGATGTTGAGTGAAATGGGAGAGGAGTAGGGAGCGGCTATGGCCCGCTGTTATGAGTAGTATGCATATGATGGGGATGATGTTGGGGGGAGCAAGGGAGGGGTTGGTTTTTTTTTTCTCTTCCTTTGCGTTTTGCGAGGTTTATATTATTATTCTCTGTTGTTATGATACCTCCATTTTACTCTTTTCTGGTTCTTTTTTTTTTGTCCCTTATATTAACAAAACGATACGGTGGAAGATAGCAGCATATATTTCCAGTATGTACTACTACTACATGTACTGATACTATCATCTCTTCTTCTCCTTTCTGCTTGTCCCATTTTTGCAGATTTTCTTTTTCATAGCTATTCTTATCGGGTTTCTCTTCTCCTTCTTCGTTATACATATGCACAGCGGGGGTATCTCATTCTGGAGTTTTTTTCCCTTCTTTCTCTGTACTCTAGATTGACTAAATCTATTGTTGTCTGCCCGGGGGGGGGGGGGGGGTGTGGGAGGGGATGGAGGTTGGGGGGTAAGGTATAATAGTGAGGGTATCTCGAGTCCAAAGAACGGAGGGGGAAAAAGCAAAGGGTGATTGGTTTTTTTTGGTTTTTGGATACCCATTTTGTTTCCCTTTATTTTTTTATTTTTTTTTTCCCATTGTATGTATCTTATCTTCCTCTTCTTCTTCTTATTGTTGGTCGCTTTTTTCTGTACTGGGCCGGGATGCATGGGGTAAAAAAAAATGCGTGAAGGATGAGATGGAATAAGCTCGAGTGAAATGAAATGAACGGGTTGGGTTTTTATGGGATTTGTCAGGTCAGTCGGTCAGTCAGTCAACCAGCCAGATGGCAGGAGCAGCGAAAGGAATAACATCGTGGGAATTAATTATCATGAAAGTGTCTACCTTATTCAAATGTGAAAAGAAAGAAAAAAGTGAATGCGCCGTAAGGGACTCGAACCCTTCCCAGTTGCTATCTATTCTCATGGAAGGCAACTATGATACCCCTTCACCAACGGTGCTGTGGTGGTTGCTAAAGGAATGAGTAATACAAAGATAAAAATTGGTTTCTTGGCTTGGCTACTTACTCCGCATGATACAGGGATTGTTTTTATGCAGGCGCAGCTCTGACTTTACTGGCCCCCATACTCTAGGTGTGCTTAGAAACTCAGCGGCACTGCAAAGCCAAGCAACTTATGGGACGAACGGGACCTCCAATCATGCCAAGATGTGGGTTTGTGGTCCGGAGCTTGGCTTCGTGGTTGATCACGGATTGTCACTCGCGTCTTTTGAGTCGAGATTATATCTTGTGTTGACGCCTGCATAAGTACGTCGTATTTATTATTCACCGGCTGTAAGGCGCGACCAAAGTGGTTATGGACGGCTCCGGGCCGGAAAAAAAGACTTGGACCAGTTCAGTCTACATGTGTTCTGTCTGGTATGGAGGCGGGGAGTACATGGACCATGTAGTACGCCGTGCGAAGCTTTCCAATATCTCGGGGGAATATGACCACTGGAAACATGATGTAGCTCCAAGAGGAACGCTGCCAAGCAATAAGAACAAAGCACCGAATTATTTAGGTGCATGATCTTTGAGACATGGTGGTCTTAAATGTAGGGCTGCCTCCCTGCTTGCCTCGACCAGTACCAGAAGCAATGTTTCCGAGGCCAAGTATACCATAGTGGCTTCCCCGTTAAGAGATTATCATGGCCCAAGAGCACTTAAACCTGCGCCTACAGCATATCGATATATTATACAAGCAGCAGTCGCACTACGGGAATGTTCACGCATACAACCTAATCACCTAGTGGCTAACCATACGATAGATAGACCTACCTCATATACATACCCACATAACTCTTGAACACACTGGGTATCCCATGATGCATAATTAAAACCACATATACTCTATCTCATAGGCTCGAAAGCCTGGTTCAACATGGTTATGAAGGACCAACGAGTGATAGTTGATGATCCATTCCACAGACGCTTTGAGACACTATCTTGGTTTAGCTCAAGGAACTGTCGTAGTAGAAGGTTCTGAGGTGGTTTGTGCCTTATATCTTTTTATTACAGGGGTTTCTATCGGGGGATAATAAAATAAATTTGATCTCCCACTCAATTTTGCTAATTGTACTCATTGATCTATGTAATCAATCAATTACTGTAATCAATCAATCAACTTTGCTATCTGCTGGCACCAAATGCAAGGCCTGCACCATACCATAGCATTCTCAACCATCAATAAGACTCAGAATGGTCGATAAATACACATCCCTACAGTCAACCCAGGTGCCTCTAGCTGGCTCTAACTACATGTAGCTCATGCTCAAGGAAAAATTCATAACTTTCATTTCCTCAAACAATACAAAACAGTACAAAGCAAGGAACCCTTCACTCCAGTCCCCATCTATTCCACAATCACACAGACACACCTATCAAAAAAATGTTCAAGAAGGTCCCCGCGCATCACTGGCAAAATCACGCCGCTCCCCTATTTTTCTGTTCCGATCCCCCCCACCAACCGGCCGGCCTCCTTCTTCTCCACTCTATTCTACTCCGATGCGTTTCAACATTACTAAGTCAAAAAAAAGGGAAAAGAAACAAACAAAATTACAATTGGTATCAATCTTTTGCGCATAAACTAGCCCCGCTCCTAACCGAAGCTTTTTCTCCACCAGCCGCTGTTCAGCTTCTCGCTGAGCTGCCTGTAGTGCGCCATCTCGCCCCAGCAGTCCCGCCCCCACTCGCATCCGGCCATGTTGACGACAAAGTCGCGGTCTTTCTCGTCGTAGAAAATGCGTGGGTCATCGGGGGTGTCTGCACATGCGCCGGGAGGGAAAGAGTTGATCATTCGCTGCGGGATGAAGGCTGTTCCAGTACGGATCCAGGGCTGATTGGTGTACAAGTACTCCTACCGGAAATGTTAGCATCTCCATCGTTATGCCATCAGCCAGTCATAAACATAAGGCAACATACCAGAGCGTCTTGTTCTTTGTGTTCCCACTCCATGTGCTTCTGCTCATAGCCAACCGGGTCCCACCAGATATCGAGTAGGCGCTCACTCCACTCGCTTCGTTTGATGAGAAAGCTACCTAGGTTGAAGCCACCACAGTCCTGTGGGACAATGAGGTTGATGCTCTCGGCTTTGTCGTCGCCGACGGGACTGAGGGCGGCCTCGTCGAGGTAGAAGAATTCTTCTTTGGACGGTGGGTGAGTGATCTTGAGAGGGTTGTAGACATTGATATCCCGGTAGGTGACGTTCTGCAGGTGTTTGAAGATATGCGACTGTAGTGAGATTGAGGGCTCCATGATGAAGGTGTGGAGATCCATCCACCAGAACCTATCCGTTCCAGGAATATTAAAATCCATTTTCCAGAGTGGTTTAACGGGTAGGGAAAGGGCGGGGATAAACTCACCACTCAGCCTTAGGATACTGCCTCATCGTCTGCTTGATGACATCGACCTTCTCCCAACTCTCTCTCCACTCATGCGCATACCTCTTTTTTGTGCTCATGTCCTTGATCTCCAAGTGGTATCCCCAGCGCTCCGCATACGCCTTCTTGTTTGCGATCGAGTCCCTCTCTACCGCCCACTCCTTTGCGCCCTTCCACGTCATCACTCCACCGCCCTGGTTGGCCGCCAAAATGATAACAATTTTACTGCCTCCAGAAACGCCGCGGATTTTGCTGCTAACTGGGTTGTGGTGCACATACGTAAACACGAACAACACTGCCGCCACCAGCAGCATTATCACAGTCGTACCTCTCGACCGCCGCAGGAACAATCCCCGCGCCCGTCCAAACGCACCTGAAGAATACCGGTAAGGGGTCGAAGGCGTTGCCGAGAAGGCTGGCGAGACTGGCGAGTACGTGGGTAGCGATGTCGACAGTTTCCGCAGATGCTTCCCCAGGAACTTGCGTGCGCCGAACGAAGGATACCCATTCGCCGCCCCATTAACCCCTATACCCCGCCGTTTATTCTGCTGTTGTTGTTACCGTTGCTGTTGGCCCACGAAGGCGAGCTCCCACGCGGGGAAGGCGAGTGTGCCCTCGACGTTGGCATTCCCGGCGTTGGTGACCGGGAGCCGGGGAAGTAGCTTCCACCGCCTGCTTCAGAGGAGTCCCCCATAAGGGGTGTATGAGGAATTGGCGGGAGTGTGGAGTGATGCGTGGATAAGGAATTGTTTACTGAGACTGATGATGAAGAGTTGACGCCGATATTTTCGAGATTTGGAGGTCCGGTACTGCTGCCGACGGTGGAGCGCCGACGTGGTCTGTTGGTGGGTGCCACGGTGGGTGGTTGGGGGGGTTGACTGGGGGGTAGGTAGACTTTGAGAAACTTCTCCACCACCGCGAACTATGCTAGCTGGCAACAACCAAGACTTTTTTCTCTTTCCTTTCGAGGGGGGAAAAAGATATGGAGCCAAGAAAGGGTGAGGTTGTTAAACTTTTGATAGAAGGGGGTGAGACCGGAATGTAATGTAGGATGGCTTCACCGACTGATACTGACGTTTCTGCTGGTGTAAGGAGGAGCTTGATATCGACTGTGCTCTCCTGGCTGTTGGTATGCAGTGCTACCAAATGACGGGTACTTGCTTGAATGCTTGATTGCAATAGGTATTATGTAGCACGCAGAGTATGTAGTTCACAAGTAGAGTAGATAATAACGGCACTGAACAGAAGAAACGAATGTGATGGGCTGTGATGAATATCTTCCTCCTCGAAGCAAAGCAGGAGAAGAGGGGCAAACAGTACAATTAAGAATTCGAAGGGAAGGAGGAGTAAGTACGAGCACTGACAGAGGAGGAGGAGGAGGCAACTAGTTATGTAGGTAATGTAAGAAAAAGAACCAAGTGCAAATAATCTCACTCCCTTGGACCATGAGGGTGGGAAGGGAGGACATCAGATATTTCTTCTTTGACCTCTTGGCCTCCGTTGTTCCTTCCTGCACTGGGGATAGACCTAGGCATCCGAAATGAGGATTACGGGCTCAAGCTGCCCTTATCGAGTCCGAGATCTACGTAACGAGTGCTTTTCCAGGCACACAACCGCAGTGAGAAACTACACTTTAGAAGGGTGGAATCGAAAGTCGTCTATCTGTCCTCGAGTAGTACGTACGCACTCGCTCTCTCAGATCACCCAACCCATTAACCCCAATAGAATGCAATTGCAATCCATGACAAACAGCACTCTTTCATGGTAAGGAAGGAAGGAAGGAAGGAAGGAAGGAAGGACTCCAATAAACAACCCCATGTAAGAACATATCCCGATGCATTGGCTAGATCTGGGTATCCAACTTTTCACTCTCACTCTCACTCTGGTTTGTACCCCCTTTGAACCCTTTCCATCAATCAAAGTAAATTCCCGTTTCACGCTTTCTCCAGGGCCTAGGGAGGGGACCTGACAGGGACGTTTCGCCAACAACGCTTGTTTGCATGCGGCTAGCCAGTTCCCGGAATAACCCCCTACCCTTCTTCGCTTTCCCTCCTTTTTTTTGATGAGATCTGATCTTGCAGCAGCTCCTGGAGGAGAAGGAGCTGAAATACCTAACCCTGGCTATCTACCATTTCAGCCTCAGTTTGACCCCAGCGCCGCCACGTTTTTTCAGCTGATCCTTCTTCTTCCTCCGCTTCCTCTCCTTCCATCGCTTACTCCACTCTATCCACTGGCCTTAGTCTGGCACCGCTATTATTAGAAGCCCACCCAATTTCCAGGTTTTCCAAAAACCAAATACGAGGCCCTTTCTATCCCATTCCCACGGACTACAACCCGACCACCGCTGTCAAATGTCGGGGGTGGCCTCGGAAAAAGCTTAAGATGCCCCTCCCCCAATGGGAACCATTTACACCCCAAAGATGCATCGGTAGAGCAGGATCCGGAGGTCGCGGGTTGGGTGCAGCTTGATTATTACATTGGCCTCGGCAGACGCTGCAAGCGAGTGAGGGAAGGGAATTTCTCGATAGAAATTCCTTTCTTCCTCCCCTCCCCTCCCCTTCCCTTCGTATTCACCCCCCGCCTTCCTTCTGGGGCGGTTTTCGGCATCAAGTGCGGGCTCCCAGCTAGCTAGCTAGTTAGCTAACGGAAAGAAAGAGGGCACTGAGCTTTCGTCCCGTGGCAATCGGCAATTAGACTTTATGTTTGCAGATTTGCAAATTGTGGATAAGCAGGTTTAAGTAAAGTGGCAGCTTGTACCGGGCGGTGGTAATGATGTGGAAAAAAAGTAAAAATAAAGGAATAGGGGAATCGGTTTTCAGGGCTCACCACTCTCACTCACAGACGCTCACTCGGTCACGAGAAGTCAATCTTACTTTTTCTATAATTACAATTTTCATATAACCAGAAATGGTTTGTGTTATTGTTATTATTGGCAATGACTGGGGTCGTGCCGATTACATATTGTAGTGGGTAGTCCAGCGGGTTATAGATTGACAGCTATTTACAGGTATTCAGCCGGGCTTTCGGCTTATATATGAACTGTTCGTGATACCCGTGGATATTTGGCGGATACGGAATCATCACACAACCTCGTATTCCTATTCTCAATCATACAGCGCTTTCTTACACAGCAATTATTAGACCGCGATAGACCGGGATTTAGGTCAGAGTTTCGACTGGCAGAGTGGGGCATACCTCACGTATAACAGACTCTTTCTGCTCGGACTTACAGAATTTATGGGATTTGTCCTGTTAGAGCAATTATGTTGAGGTTTTCCACTCCTCATGAGTCATGATGTACAACCTCTGCTTCGACTTTGAATCCGGGTTCTAGCTATGAGTCTGTAGAAGGGTTATGATGCAAATTTGGGTCCGGATTGTATGTACTTATGCATATACATACGTGCTTTCTAGTCTAATGATAAATAAAAGCAAAGTTAGCAAAGATTAGTCACCTTGATTAGCCGTTCATCTTTTCAGAGATCCTCTTGTCGATCCACTCTTTCAATATGCTATTACTCAGGATTTCAATCTCCACTTTGACATTCAGGAACAGCATTTTCTGAATCTCACTCCTACACCATATAGCGTTAACCAAACCACCTGAAAATTCCAACAAGGCAGGGGATGGAACTCACCTCCACTCCGGCACCCTCTCCATCCACTCCCTACCCAGCATCTTCACCGCCTTCCTCCTATCCCTCTCCGTCAGAACCATAACCCCCTCCACCTCCCCTTCAGCACTCTTAATAACCCCTTCAAGATCACCCGTCTTAACACCCAACCACTCAACCCTCTCCACCGCCAACCTATGGCTCTCATGCGCCAGCGCAATACTCCCAAACTTATACGTCGCCATAATCTCGATCCCATACGGGTCCATATCCACCACCGCAAACACCGGCAGCGCCCCCGACAGCTCCTTCACCAGCTCCCGCGTCGCAACATCCGGATACCCCTTCCCCGTCACCACAATGCCCTTCCCCTTCCCCTTCCCTGCGTCGCCGCTGCAAAGCGTACGGAACACCGCCTCCTTCTCGACAATCAGCACATACTCCACGCCCCGCCCCACCACCACCTCGCCCGCCTCGCCCGGCACGATGATGCCCCGCCGGGAGCAGCGTAGCTGCGGCCGTTCGCGGTGAAGTCGCCGTGGGCGAGGCCCTTGGCGCTGGCGACGATGCCGAGCGCGTGCCGGGGGACGCGGAAGGTGGCGGTGAGGTCGTCGATGATGCGGTCGACGGCGGCTTGGGTGCGGAAGAGGGTGGGGTGCTGGTAGAAGATGTCGCGTTTTGTGGTGGGGGGGTGGGGGTGTGGAGCTGTGAGGGTGGTGTGGATGATGGTGAGGATCTTGAGGATGCAGGTGAAGCGGTGGGCGGAGGTGGGGAAGGAGATTGCTGTGGGGGTGGGGTGGGGGTTGTGTTGGTGTTGGTGGCGGGGTGGCGGGGACGGGGGGTGAGGAGGAGGGTGAGTGGGTGTGGGCCGGTGGGGGAGAGGAGGGCGGTGGTGAGGGAGTGGAAGATTGACTCGATTTGGTGGAGGAGGTAGGTGCGAGTGATAGAATGTGCAGTGGGAGGTTCGGTGGCTTCTGTGCTTGTGCTGCCTGTGTTTGTGCTGCTACTGGTAGCTGTGCTAGGAGTGATCTCCGTGGTATCAGTATCTGTAGTATCAGGACTGTGCAGTCTGGCCCTTTTCGTGGGTGGATATTCTGAGTGGGAGTGGTCCTGCATGTCTTATCACTCGTTGTGACTGGTGAGATGTGGTGATGAGGTTGTATCAGGTGATTGATGATGATGATGATGGTGATGATGGTGATGGTGATGATGGTGGTGGTGATGATAAGATTTTGGGTCCTCTTCGAGCATAGGAGGCTACTTGAGCGGAAAGCCATAAACCCACTTCACGGGTATGTAAGGTCCCAGATAGCTGCATGTATGTACTGTGCCAGTCACGGTGAGTACGGCATGTAGGAACCCATTGCCGACACTGACTGCAGTTGGCTTGCTTCTCCCACAAACTCTTAGCTTAGATTAAACCGAGTCCTCGACGATTTCGGGAGGCTGTCCTCACACAGAAAAGTGTGTTCGATACCTGAAAAGCAAGTAATTATTCTTATGGTCAAGGGTGGTGGTTTATAACGCATTGGGCTGATTTGGGGTGCTCGGGATATATGCCAATTTATATAATGAAAGGTGGCAATATAGGTGTTGTACCAAATATGGAGAAGGGTGTTGGTAATAATTATAGTGATATCTAACCAACTTAATTGAACATCTATTAATCTATTCTGTTCCTGGCTAAAAGCAGGCACATG